TGGCATCAAGCTCCACACCAGGCTCCCTGCTCAGCGGCAAGTCTGCTTCTCCCTCTCCCTCCACTCGTGCTCTCTCTTCTCTCTCTCAAATAAATAAAATCTTTAAAAAAAATGTTAAGTTTTGGGGGAGCCTAATGACTGTGTGGGGAGTCAGGGACCCTCACCTCGTGATTTTCAAGGGTCAACTGTAATTATGGTTGCAGTTGACACTCTAGACATTTAATCTTTTCAACACTGAAGGCCCTCCCTGCAAAGTACAGGGTATGGTACCACGAGCACGACAAAGAACAATAGTCCTCGCTCTTAGGAAGCTAGGGTCTAGTTGAGGCTATAAAAAAGTTCATACAAAAACGCAGCTAACCTCCAAGCCAAGATTAACCAGAAGCTCATGACTGGTGGAGAGGAGCTTTAGAAGATTTGAACGGGCAGAACTCACTTTTTATCGGGCACAGGAGTGGTAAGTAGGGTTAAGGAACCTGGTCGTGAAAGAAGTTGTATTTAAATTGAGATTTGCGGGGGTGAGAGGAGCAGATATTTCTCTTAACATAAAGTAGATCAAAAAGCACGAACATTCAGCCATGAGGAGATCCTACCATTTGTGACAACATGGAGGGGCCCTAAGGACATTATGCTTAAGTGAAATAAGCCAAAGAAATATAAATACTACATGGTATCACTTATACATAGAATACTTTTTTTTTTTTTCTACTCCTAGAAACAGAGTAGAAAAGTGGGTGCCAGGGGCTACAGGGGCAGGAGAAATAAGGAGAGGTTGGTAAAAGGGTACAAACTTTCACTCTAAGATGAAAAAAGTCTGAGGATCGACTGTAAACATGGTGACTATAGTTGACAACACTGTATTGTGTAATTGAAATCTGCTAAGAGTAGAAGAGAGAACTTCAATGTTCTCACCAAAAATAAATCAATGAAGAAAGCGTTAATGGGGGAAATCTTTTCACAATGAATACATGTATCAAATCACCATGATGTAGATTTTAAATATCTTACAATTTTAATGATCTTATATTAGAGAGAGAGAGAGACGGGGAGGGAGGAGGTGGTGGAAAGAATCTCAAGCAGACTCTGTGCTGAGCACAGAGCCCGACCTAGAGATCATGACCTGAGCAGAAACTGAGAGTTGGACATTTAACCGACTGAGCCACCCAGGTGCCCCAATATCTTACAATTTTTTAGGTCAATTAAACCTCAATAAAGCTGGGGAGAAAATAAAACCACACACACACACACACACACACACAAAGCACAAAGGTATACATCGCATCAAGAAATGGATTCTTGGGGGAGGAAGAAATTATTACAATGGTTTATAGCCCTCCAAAGCAACATCCCATCCAACAAAACCTTATCTGCTAGTATTTAACTTCTTGTAAGGATGAATTTAAGTCAAAATTTTCTCCTAAGGAGGGGGGCAGTAATTAATTTTTAAAAAGGTTAGGAAACACTGAAATAAAGGGAGGGGGGAAGAGCCCCTAATTAGCCACGTAGGACAATGAGGGAGCTTGGAGGAAAGCCTAAACAATTTCAGATGTCTATAGATCTATATATATTGATAAACACACCTTAGCTACTAAACAGAGCATCTTATCACAGCCATAGAAATAGATCTTTCAACTTAATATTCTTTACTGAAAAGTCAGAAAAACTTCTGAATATGGCACTGTATTTCAGCCCGGAAAATCACCACTCCTCTCTTCAGAAACAGACCAAAGATGGCACAGATAAGACTGGGCTGATCCATTTTGATTATTCTACCAGATATGTTTTTTTTTTTTTTTTTCTTGAAAGAGTAATCATTAGAGCAGTCTTTCACCACAGGGAAACGAGCTTAAGTGATCTTCCAGGATTTCTTTCCACATATCACTCTGACATGCAGAATAAACCTGAATAAATCTGACAATTTTTAAAAAAGATTTTATTTGTCAGAGAGAGCGAGCACAAGCAGGGGGAGCAGGCAGAGGGAGAAGCAGGCTCCCCGCTGAGCAGGGAGCCAGAGGCGGGACTCCATCCTAAGACCCTGGGATCATGAGCCGAAGGTGGACGCTTAACCGACTGAGCCACCCAGGCGTCCCTGACATTTTTCAAATTAAAATATTAATAAGGCTTAGTTGAGCATTCAAGTTAAATCAAGAGGCAGAGGAAGAAAAACCGCACTTTCCAAAATGTCCAAAATAAATGTGTCAGAAAAGCAGATGAGCACGTACTTGAGAGAGGCTAGATGGGTCTGAACCCTGTTTTGTTTGGGCCACAAAGAGGAATTTCCCTTTTCTAGCTTATCAAGTAACCTGGAGCACCCTTAGCTGTTGACACATGTCAACACTGATACAAGCATTAGTTATGGCATTAAGAGGGCCTTAGTGAACCAGAAGGCATTGCTGGGACCTTCCTGCAGGATTCCAGGGGCGACTTGTGTTTAACAAGCAACGTTATCTGGGGGGCAAGAGCCACCAATATAGGTCACCGTAATAGAAATTTCCAAACACGAAATTGTCCTTTAAAGCAAGAACATGAACAACAAATGTTGAAACAACACTTGGGGGGCACCTGGGTGGCTCAGTCGTTAAGCGGCTGCCTTCAGCTCAGGTCATGATCCCAGGGTCCTGGGATCGAGCCCCGCATCGGGCTCCCTGCTCCACGGGGAAGCCTGCTTCTCCCTCTCCCACTCCCCCTGCTTGTGTTCCCTCTCTCGCTGTCTCTCCGTCAAATAAGTAAATAAAATCTTAAAAAAATAAAACAAAACACTTGGGGGGAGTAGATGAAAGGGAACTTCGAAGGATAAAACCTTGCAAATCTGTGTGCCATGTTCTTGAGGGTCTGTCAAACACAGTTCTGTTTTCTTTTCAGGTAGAAGCATTCAATTACCTTCCCCTGAAGTTTAGGAAAGGGGAGATATTTATCACAAAAGACACAAGATGCATTTCTGTTCTTACATCTGAGTAGGCTCTAACATATTTTATTAAGCTCTATGTTTTGTGATTCTTTTCTTGAAAACCCCAAGTTTCCCCCCATCAAGAAGCTAGTGTCATCACGCAAAGGTTCTCAACCTCAGGAAACAAACTGGTGTCCCATGGAGAGATTTAATTTTCTGGAAAGACAGGAAAGTCACCCATTCTCTCCAGCAATTCAAGAACAACCATTTCTTTATTATTGACATGCATGTAGATGCTCAGCAAGGGGAGGGGAAGGGACTATGTTTCACACATTTTCTAACATTTGCTTTTAATTTTATCCATTTTCTTATATTTTTTGCATATTCAAGATGTCCAGAAACCCCTGAAGTTGACAGCAGCATCGAGGGGAGGCCTACTTTCAGTTTGGTGACTGATCTGCTAGGTTACAAAGTGAATGTAATTTGCCTTGAGGCACAAGAAGGGGAACATTAACAAATCACTATTAAACACTAAAACTGTCCGTTCATACATTTTATTTCACTAGACTGCAAATTTATACACAGTATGAAGGGGTTTCCTGATAGCACGCATATAGTTTACTTTCTGTACGGCTGAAGAACCAATTGTTTTTTACATTATATCGTTAATACCCTATCATTAAAACATTATTCAGTGAATTTTTTTTCCAACTACATATAAACGGAGATTTACCACACACACGGTGCAAGAATGCCTTTATAACATATTTGAATCACAAAATGTGAATCTAAAATACATCACTGTAATTAGAACACTACTTTAAAATTACAATGCCCCATGTTATATTAGCCAGATTTTATTTATCTCTGTATACATCACAAAGCAGTTTGGTGGGTAACTTCTTGGATAACTGGCAGCAGCTTTGAATTAGGATATCAGAAGAAATCTTTAATTAAGAACCAATCGTGAATCTTAAAAACATCTTTCTTTATGTAGTCACTATTCTCACAATCAAAATGGGACATTTAAAAATTTATAGTCTCTAACACAAGAAGAAGAAATCCATCCCTCCTTAGCTGAAGGGCCGGGGTTATAACATTAGGTTTTGTAGAAATCTAAGAAAAGCATTGTACGGGGAGTGGAAAGGAGTTAAAAAGAAACATTAAAATTTCTTTAAAAACATTTTGGATTCCTCTGTCCTCCCCACCTCTGTCAAACACAGAGAAAGAATACTGCATTGCAAATAAAGATGTGTTTCCATAAAACGATGTTCTAAAGGAAATGTATGTAAACAGGTCAGAGAGAAAGATTTCTTCATTTTCCCATTTTGTGGACTTGGGGCGGTGGGATGGTATCCGTTAAATAACAGAACTCCTAAGTTCAAAGAACCACTTCATCATACACAAAACGGCTAGGGATAACTGCTGAAAAATTCTCATGTGTCTCCTTTTCTTTCCCCCAAAGTTTGAGAATGTTTGAAAGTTCAATAAATAGTAGAAAAATAATCCTTTACTTAGAAATTTTGAGATGCATCATTTGGAGCTCAACAGGAGTTCCAGAGAGCAACTGTGGTATCTAGGTACTGCTAGGAAACCAAGCGACATCTTCAAAGCACACATTTCTCCCTGGATGTGCTGCTCGCTCACTCTCCGGCGGGGCACATTTCTCTCTCTTCCAGTTAAAGAGAGCCGAATGTTTTTGGCTCCTTGGAACATTCCTCTGGCTCAGCTTAACGAAGGTTCCCCGTGTTTCATTTAGAGGTTTCGTCTCTCTCTGTTTGGAGGTTTGCCTTCTGTTCCATTCCCTTAGCATGATGGCAGGTTCATTAATCAGGTTTCCTTCCCCTCCGTTTCGGAGCCGGCCTTGCATTTTCACGTGTGAGTCTGTTGTTGTCTCTCCTCTTGAAACAGGTGAACGGGCAGGAAAGGAGTTCAGTCACTCGGGACGAAGCACGGGGGCCCGTGTGCACACACACACGCGCGCGCACACACACACACACGCGCCCGCGCGCGAGGGGATTCTTGCGGCAGAGTCTCTGACGCTGGCTCTTCTTCCCCTCCAGAACATTTTGTGCCTCCCAGGTCCCGTCTTCTGGCGGGGGTGAGGGGAGCGTTAGCATTCCGCGTCGACAGTGTGTACTGTCACGGCCGCCTGTAAGTGGTGGCTGTGGTGCAGTGCGGGGTGGTGGGGGCGCGGGTGGTGGAATTTGTGACTTAGGAGGGCAGCGGTCTGGGGCGGCGCGTCCAGATCCAAGTCCTCATCGTGGTTTCCCACGTCGACCCCCGCTGACAGGGGGTCGTTGTTGCACGGGGGATTTTCACTGTCCTCCTGCGGGCTCATGGTACTGTAACCTAGAAAAGGAACAGAACAGGCAGCTGAGAGCTTCCAGACGCAGGGAGCCGGGGCTTCAGATGTCTAGGGCACCGGGACATGTTCCTATCTGTGTGTTACCCAGCGGCCAACGTCTGCAGCCTGCCAGCACACGGGCAAGTGACTTATTTCCTAAGGCATCTTTTGTTAGCCATTCTTTTTCCACAATTACACGGTAAAACCACAACCGTTTTAGACATCTGAGAGAGCACAGATAAGGAAATATATATATATATATATATATATATATATATATATATATACACACACACACACATACAAGCAGCCTTTTCCCAAATCCCCAAATCAACAAAAGAAAAACTAAAATCACCACACATTCCCCTCTGATCCACAGAGAACTACCACTGACATTTGGGAGCTATCCTCCTCCACCTTTCCTGGAGATCAGGATTAGGGCTGTTAATTTTATTTTAAAGAAAGGAAAAAAAAAAAAAAAAGGCAGCTTCAGAAGGAAAAAAAGTAATGGGACTTGGATGGAGTTGGGGGTTGGAGGGGGAATCGGGGCTTCGACAGGCCTGAATTTGACGTCACAACACAGTGAGAACAAAAACAACGGCTACCATCAGCCACACATCTGCTCCGTGGCAGGTGCCAGTGTCCTGGGGCTCCCACACCCCAATAAGGCATGTGGTTTAACGTTCATTTTTACAGGCGAGGGAGACGATGATCAGAGAGGTTAATGAACTTGCCCAAAGTTCCACCCCATGAAACACTAACCCCACATATACCCCTGGCAACCAGCAAAGGAATCAACTATTCTCTGTGTAAGCTGGCTCACTGTATTTAAAGATTAATTTCTTTCAGTATTCTAAGTAATACATGTTTCAAAAGAAAATGGCCTTGCTGATCAAAGGATTCCATTCCAAGAACCCTGGCATGTTTTTAAATATTGCAAAAATCCCCTTTAAGAATTTTGAGAAGTGACAGCTCATTAATATTTCCACTGCATCTACGGTTAGCATCAATCAGCACTCACCCATGGGTAGCGCTAGTCACATTTGTGGCTGCAAAATTGATGTGCTTGCATACAGCCAAGCCGGAATAGTTTGTGGTTGAAAATGTATGCTCTGTGCAAAAATGAGAAAGGCAGTTCTCTGTCCTCAGTGAAACATTTCTCGAATGACAGAATTATTTAAGCCAGTCCAACCCAACAAATATTTATTGTGCACCTACTATGTATAAGATACTGTGTTAGGCAATGCAGGAGACACCAAGGTGAAAACCTGGTCCCTGTATAAGGAGCTTAAAAGCTAGTGCTTGAGAAATAAAGCCAATACAAGCACGGACCTGTTCAATTATTCATAGATACAAGACCATTACAGGGCCAGAGAAGGAGGCGATGAAACATGAATAAGAGATGTCTCTTTTCCTTGCGGATTTCACAACCGAACAGGAGACACATTTTCGTGAAGCTAGGTTTATTCTACTGCGGACAATGGTAAGAGCTATAGTTGAGGTAGAACTGAAATCTAGAACACGGAATAAACTAATTCCAGCTGAAGAATGAGAAAGGTTCACGGAAGAACTCCTATTTTAGTTGGGCTTTAAAGGATGTGCAGGAGTTTGGTAGGTGGGTAGGAGCAAGGGGAGAGAGGGGCAGGCCACGGGGTGTGGCACCCCAAGGCCATTCCTACACCGCATGGCCAGGGTGGGTGCTGGTAGGTAGCTGGAGAACGCGGCAGGAGGGAGGTGGAAAAGGGAGTTACAGTCAGATTATAAAGGCCATGCCGAAGCAGAGAAAATGGAGAAAGAGCAGAACATTTTGAGCAGACTGAAAAAAAAGAGCAAGACAGTTTCTGTGTTTCAAAGAGAGTTCTGATGGCAGCTTTTTTTTAATGAATAAAAAGGAGAGAGAGGGGGACGGTTAAGAGGTTATTTCGACAGTCCAGATGAGAGATTAAGAATCAAAACTAGGGGTGTGGGACTGGACAGATTTAAAAGTATCTCAGGAGCGGAAACAAGGGAAGTTGGTAAGCTATCAAAAGTGAGGGGGTTGTGGGGGCTGCTGAGAGGTGGTTAAAGGGGACTGTGACTCAGAGTCAGGATGCTAAGACTCGGAGATCCCCAGTCTCAGGAATGAAAACGAATTTTGTTTCAGACATCTTGATTTGAGAGTCTGTGGAGATGTCTAGCCAGAAAGGCAGGAATGTTGGCCATGAGAAGTCAGGGCCGAAGAGAAGGAGCTAACTGACGTACAGGTCTATCATCACGGAGTGTCTTCTCGGTGCCAGGTCGGGGGGAGCTCACCAGAAAAAGGGGTAAAGGTGAGGCCCCAGCTCCCAAGAAACCCACAGTCAAGAAGGGGAAACACAAAACAGAGGCATACCGAAAGGAATACCAAAGCTGGTTAACTTGGCTTAGGATACCTGAGGACTCTTAAGGTAGGCCTCGTGGGAGAGAAGGTGTTCATTAGGTAAAGAGAGGGGTGGAAATGTACTGCAGGCCAGGAGATAGGCAAATACAAAGACACAGTAGCCTGAAAGTCTCTGGTGGGCTTGGGGGATGATAAAAAAGCTCAGTATGGGGGAGAAAGACGCAGGAGACACCGCTGGACACACGGGCTCGGACCAGATCAAGAAGGCCGGTCGAGCTAGGAGCTGGGATTTAGGGTAACAGGCAAGGGGGGGTAGGATGGTAGCAATGACATAAGGTGTTTGAAGAGGATCCTTGTGGCAACGAGGAGGCTGGGCAGAAGGAAGGAGGGATCAAGGCTCAGGGGACAGGAGGCCGGAGTGCTGGCCCAGGAGATGACGAGGACCTGAAGGGACAGGAGCGGTGTTAAGAGCACGTAGCTGGCTTCAAGGGACCACTGGGGTGCAGAGTCGGCTGAATGTGGTGGCCAAATGGCCTGGCCCCGTGAAGATGCCAGGAGGGCTGACATCCGTGGACAACACTGAGGGCGTCTAGGTTCAGGAGCTGGGGAAAGAGGGATGCGTTTCCTCAAGAGTACGGGATCAGGAGCCCCAGTGAGTTTCTCAGCTTGGGCCGTGCTCGGTCTGGAACGTACGACCGGACAGCAGGCTCTGAAACTCCAGCTACCAAGTGCTGTGTGTGCTTAAGCTACCACGTGCTTCACACATAGGGGACTGGAGGAGAAAATACACTTTCGGCAAAATCTCGGTGTCTTTGTTGATTATTGTTGGCCAGCCGTTCACGCTAGGCTGTCTTTATCTGCCTCCAAGTATATCCTGAATGGTTTCCCATCTCTACTCATTTACAAGCGCCCATGGTAACTGTTAACTCATTTGCACATTCGTGACAGGCCGTCTGCCTGGCTCACCACCCCCCCAACCCTCGTCTGGCTATTGTGCTTCAGGCTTCAGTTTTTAAAGGTCTTCTCTGGGAAGCAACCCAAACCCCAGCCTTCAGCCCACATGCAGTCGGATGCCCCTTCTGTGAGTTTAAATGGCATTCTGTGCACATCTCTCTCTTAGGTTTTTACTATATAATAAACTTTAGGGCTGCCTTGTCCATTGGCAAATCCTTATTTCTGTACTCCTAATATTCCACACAATGCCTCACACAAAGCAGAACACCAAAGACACTTCGTTTTTCAAAAATCACATTACTATGCTCCCAAAGCAATGGCATTAATTATTTTGAGTTATCTATGGCTTTATGTGGTGTGACATTCCGCAGGCTCACCTAATAATGAAGACACTCCAGGATTCACTGGGCCCTGCCCAGGGCTTCCAACTTAAGGGTGCAGGGATGCCCTGAACCTGGCTGGTCATAGGCTCGGGGTGGTTCTGATGGTAGAGCTGTTCCCAAAGCAATTCAGGAGCACCCCATTTCTCCTGCTCTTGCTCTCTGATGGGAACCCCCCTAGCAGACGCTCTTCCAAAGTGAACCACTTGCTCTGGGGGCATTGCTCAACCCCTCTGTAAGTTACTCAGGCTTCCTCTTATCTCAATAATTAATAAAAATCTGGAGGGAGGGATAGCAAGCTGTAAAGGAGGAGGAAAAAGCCAAGCACTTGCTCTCACTTAACAAATGGAGTGTTTACTTAGCACCAGGCAATTCCGTTGAGTGCTGGGAACAGTGATGAATAAGACAGACTCAGTCTGACTCATGGAGGGGGAAGCTCTTTTGAAAACACAAAGGATATCAGCAAACACTTTCAAAGGAAAGATTTCTTTACTATCCAAACGTGTACACAGTAAAGTCTTTGCAAAGATGACCTCAAGCAAAAAGTAGGCTTCAGAAAGGAGGCCAGGTGTTCATTAAGAACAGAAGAGTCAAGATTAGGCTGTTGCTCTTTGGTATTCTGCTTACATATTTAGCTGATGGTTCCTGAGAAACCTCTCTTGATGGTTAGGGATGTTAGGTCCCTCTGTGGGGGTGGGGGTGGCGGTGGGAGGGGGTGGGGGTTGGGGACGACAACTCACTCTCCACCTTGTGGCCACAGAGAGTAACTGCAGGAGAATACCTGTGCATCTTTAGAAAATGGTCTCAGGGTACACTGTGTAGTTTTTGACCAGGTTTTCAAAGCTCAGCATTTGCCTTTTAAGCTTTTTGGAATCTGCTTCACAAGGAGGAAATTTCCCTTTTACAAAGAAGAAATGTGCCTTAATATACATTTGCATAAAGTTTCTAATGAAATAGTAAACAACACATGAATTCACAAGGAACAAATACACGTTGGAGGTTTTTAACTTAAAAATAAGCCAGTTGATAATTAGAACATGATATTTTCAGGAGAGATAGTGGGTAGAGCATATACAGAATTAAAAGCATCAGCAGGGAGTAATTTTTTAAATCACTACTTGTGAGTGTAACAAGAAACAGTCAAGTGCTGAAAAAACAATCATTCTAAGTGGTCTTAGAATATTGACAAAAATTTTTTTGTCACTTTCAAAAACGACTCCTATTTGGAGTAGTTTTTTTAATATAGAGAAATTAAAATAAGGTTCCTCTGAAACACAAAACTCTCTTGGCCACATGAAATACCACAGACACTTGAACAAAAGGGGTTTGAACTACGTGGGTCCACTTAGAGGCCGGTTTTCCAGAAATACAGGACAGTACTGTAAGTGCATTTTTCTCTTGGGGTTTTCTTAACATTTTCTTTTCTCTAGCTTACTTCGTTGTATGAATACAGTATATAATACATGTAACATACAACATGTGTGTTACTCCCCTGTTTATGTTATTGGTAAGGCTTCCGGTCAACAGTAGACTATTAGTCGTCAAGTACTTGGGGAGTCAGAAGTCATACGTGGATTTCTGACTGTGCTGTCAGTGCTCCTTATGCCCACGACGTTCAAGGGTCAACTGTATGTCTAAATAAAAATGCAGCTTGGAGTCTCCAAGTTTGGCTTGGTAACGTTCAGTTTTAATTCTTGGACTATCACAATTCTAAACCATACCATGAAAGTCTAGTCTGTTCAGTACTTACATATTTATGTATTTTATTCTTCTGAGTTTCCCCTTTGTGTATCAGACCCAAGGACTCATGTGGAAACAAGCTCACTGGGTTGCAAAGAACCACGGGGCTAGGATTTTACCAGTTCAAGGGCCAGTACCAATGCCACCTTCCCCGCTCAGGGGACGTCCATGATGTACGTGCTGATAAAAGTGAACTATCTCCCTATCTTCTGCTTTCTTCTGGGCCTTTAAGGAAGCTGTCATAGCCAGCTTTTTATCCATCTTATGAATACATGCATTTATTTACAGTTTCCTGCTAGACTGTAAATTCCTTGAGGGCAGAGTGGGTACCGAGGCAGGCTGAGCTCAACATGCCTGCCGTAAGTTATCGCATTTAATGTTTACAACTTCACCAGGAAGAAGTTTCTCTTCCCCTTTCAATCGTTAGGACACTAAGGTCCAAGTAGTCTCACTAAAATCTCGTAACCTGGGGAGACGGGGAGAGGGGGGCTCCCAGGGAGCTGTGCTTGACCCTATCTTATAAGCTCCTCCATACCCTCTGCCTCACAGAAACGAGGCCGTCCCTTCACCAGGTCCCTCCACCGGGCCCAGCAAAGAGCAGGTGCCCAATACATTCACCAAGTAGAAGAACACAGAGCTGAGGAAGAAGTGTGCTGACGAAACAATTGAATTAGATTTCCTTGTTGTAACGTGGACCTATGGCTTATTCTTGGCATCACAGGGACATGAGCACTTGATGCCACCGCTTTTAGTGACCTGCCATGCAGGCCCAGGGATAGGACAACATGCAGTTAAATGCTATTGATTTTGTGGTGCATTCAGAAGTATGTGGCATGTCAATGCTTTCCATTTCTTTTGGTGTTGCATTCTGTCTGCATGAGAAACTATTTTTCATTCCTTGGGGATAACAGGCATCCAATTATTGTGAAAAATGAAAGAAAGCAAGCCCTTAGCTAGATTCCTTAGCTTTCAGATACTGACACTGCACTCTTCCTTTTATCTAAGCTGTTGCTTCATATGCCATTTTCCTAAGACAATGGGAGAGCTAATGGAACATTGTAAACGTCACTCAGAATTCCAATTTCGTATTGAAGCAATTTCTATCTGGGGAGAGAGAGAGAGAAAGAGAGAAAGGATTCAGTATTTCTGCTGAATAAGAAATTATTTCTGTTGAACTTTAGTAGCCTCAAACCTGTTTTATTATTCAAAGGAGAAGAGACACAGAACTGCCTGGCAGAATGAATTTATGCAGGTTCAAAGGTTTTTAGGGGGAAAAAAAAGCAGAAAGTCAAAGAAACTGAAAAATTTAAGTTGTGCTTTGACTCTCCATAGAAACCTGAAGTTTCTACTTAGTTGTTGGGAACAATGTCATTCAAAGCCCAAATTAGGAGCCTCCGATTTACAAATCAGGGTTTTGGCTTCTCCTGTTTTCCAAAGGGAGTTTGAATCCCTGGCTCTCATGTAAAAGGCTGCACTGGTCTCCTTGATGAATACCCACTCGTGCATTTTTTAGCACAGGGGTGGGAGTGCACTGTTTGAAGATATCCCCCCTCTTTTTTTTTTTTCCCCAGGGTAGATGTGGAGAAAGAAGAGTCAAAAAGGTATCAATGCATTATCTACCCACTTAAAAAAGACCTGGTTCTGGGAAGAAAATAAAGATTTCTGGAAAATTAAACAACCCTATGAAAAATAAAAACATCTTCCAATTACAGGAAAGGCCCCACACTCCTGCCAGTCCAACAACATGGCCGTGGTTCTCTGTGAGGCCAAGCCATGCGTCTAGGTGGCGGCCAAGTCTTCCACACAGCATGTGGACTTGATTAATTCACAGCCTGCTCAGCCTTGGTGTCTCTTCACGATCTAACCTCTACCCTTTCTGAGCATCTTAGAGCTTATACACCTTATACAACCGCCATGATTAACTCTCTACACCAGTCCCTTTGCCTCTAATATCCTTTGCCCCCAACTTTTCTTTCATCACCCTTTAGGCCCAGTGCAAATTGTTGTCTCCTTGGTGAAGCCTTCCCTGAACCTTCCAGGTAAGGCTGGAGGTCAGGACGGGGAATTCCAGAAGGAAGCATGGACTCCTGTCATATACAAAGTGTAATAACTGACAGCGCCCTTGAGGATGCTGGTGTTTGCCAACTAACAACACTGCTCAGTAGGACCAACGAGGATGCCAATTACCAAGGATCAAGCGGAGTGGTAAGCAGGTTCCATTTAGACAACGTGAATCCTTATGCATGGAGAACACCTAGAAAGCAATCTGTGTGCCCAGAGGTCCTCTCACTTACGCCTGGGAGTGCAGAGACATAATCAAAACTATGGGGTTCCTATAAACACACCATGTTGGAATGTGTCCTTTGGAAAACTATGTCAAAGTAATTAATTTGAGCACAGAACAGGAGGGAGAAGTGTGGGTGTGAGCAATGGCCCACAGGAGCCCACCGGGTTCCTCAGAAGGAACTAGACCTTACCATGATCGCTTTCTGTTCCCGATCGACCCCAGTAGCGACGCCTCCTTTCTGGGCTGTGTGCGTGTCGTTCGATGACTGCAGCTATAAACCTAGTATTGCTGACTGCGGGAAGCAAGGACAGTTAGTCACTCTGATGCCAGCATCTTTATTGTATCAAGCACATTTGCTCTGAGCAGGCTCAATCACACGTTCGGGGGAGCTATTCTTTGGAGAGAGAGAATAAGTAATTTTTTTAATTGTGAGGATTAGCGGCAGTAAGAGGCCCCTGATTACAGGTCTCCAACGTGCATTAAGAAGATATGTTCTATAGAGTCGAACGCCAAGGTATGTATCTTTAATGGAACTCTATTTTGATAAAGAAATACTCCTCCCCCACCCCACCCCGAGGTATCTACATTTTAATTCCTCGAGGGATTAAAACAATGTATGCCCAATGATTGCCTTTCTGAAATAATACTATGCTGGAAAGCAAGGAGGAGGAGAAAGAAAAGGTAGGGTGAGGGGTTTTAGGCCAAAGCACTTCATGCAAAAAGGAACATCCTGGAATCTTTTAAGATTTTTCTAAAACAAAGCAAGCACCTACGCTTATTCCTAATGAAAATGGGGGAGGAAAAGCCCCAGTCATGTCAAAGATTCTGAAATTCTAATATAAGCCAAAAGGATGTAAGAAAGAGCGTCTACCGTGGGTTAGCCTCCTGCCAGCACATTCCACAGCGAGGCGGCCTGAGTACTCACTGATGCCTCTGTCCTCTCGGCTCTCATCATCCCTTTCATCTCTGTCATTCTCCAGGCTGGACATACGCACGGACATTTCTACCCATCATCAAAAAGAGAGAAACAGGACTATTTAATCAAACAAAATCACCCGCTTCAATACCCTACGGAGCGCTCGTTTGCTGGCTGCTGACAGCATTCCATCAAGAATGAGTCCAAACTTGGAAGACAATAAACTGATGTCCCATCTATTTTATTTTATTTTTAAGGAGGAGGGAGCAGGAATCAGAAGAGGGAGGACCAGAAGTGAATAATCAAGAGAGGCACCTGAGGTTAACTTCTGAAGAAAGGAGAAAATAAATTGATAGAGGCTAATGAATCTTTAATTCTCTACTAATGTACCTGAAACAGAAGGAAGGGGTCTGAGGCCATGGCTAACTGTGCTGATGAAATGGGGTTACAAAACCCTATCAAAGGCCAGGCATAAGGTTTACATTGGATGATAGTCACATCCTGATCAAGGGGCAATCCTGGTACCCAAATCTTACCAGAGGGAAGGAGCTTTGTGATTAGCCCTGTTACTCCATCAGAAAACATTATCCCAAGATCTTCCCTCCTTCCCCCTCATCAAGACTGTGGCCACAGTGAAACAGTCCAACATCAACCTGTCCGTACTGCTGAGCAAAGTGGCTCCCGACCAAGTCCAGGAAGAATGGTGAGTGAGCCTTATCTCCATAAAGGTCAGGTTAGCATATCCCTGACAGCTTTTAAGGAGGCTGGGGATGGCCATTCAATGGTTTTGTCCTCGCAAACCAGCACAGATACCACATTTAACTGTTGGAATGGAAACCATGACTGCAGGTTATTCATTTTGTTTCTGACTTCAATTACTTCTCTCATCTAAGAGATGTGATTGTTGCTTTGAACATGTTCATTCACAGTATGTAATAATAGCAGCAACAGAACGGATTCACGGTCTTGCCAATCGTGGCCTGGGGGATCTTTGCTCCGCCTGTCTGGAACAGCAGAGACAGCACTTCGGAGCCGAGGGAAGAACCAAACTTCCCACTCAGCATCCCAGCTCCCCTGACTGGCTTATTCCAGAGGCGGACTGCGGTAGGCTAATGCTGCAGAAGAGGAGAGGGCATCTAGGGCTTTTCTGGGGAATCAAAATGAAACTTGCAGGGTTTAGATACTGAAGAATGAGCCATGGGCTAAAGGAGGAAAGGAGGCTTTGGGGACTTGCGAATCCTACTCCACGGAAGCGGAAATCGCAGCGCTGTTCTTCTGAGTGCTCAGCGGCTTGTGTGATCGGTTGCTGTCCTTCCAGCTTCGGAAGGACACGAGGGAGGCTGCGGCCTCCTGGGGGAGCGTTGGATTCATTTGGAGCTCACCTTGGGCAGCCAGAGGAGACATGTGCTGATGACTCCGGCGATGAATCTGATGGCGGTAGGCATACACAGCAAGGACCAGGACCATGATGCAGCCCATGATGCCTCCGGCCACGGGACCCACGGGGGCACTTTTAATCATGTTCAACGTGACCACCTCATCACCTTTGTTCAAATAAACAAACAGATGTCCCTCGTAACGATTTCCCCAGTGTGGCAGGAAGTGAGGACCGGGGTAGGGTGTGGTGGAGACAAGGGCAGCTACTCTAAGTCTTGAATGTGTCAAAGAGAACCCACCAGAACATGTGAGTAGGGGCTTCCTTTAATCCCTGGTTCTCAACTGAAATGTTGGTTGCTCGGCCCAGCAAGAGCAGCCCCGGCAAGGACTACTAAAAAATCAGTGAGGAGACGAGAAGCACTTAAATATGGGCTGCCCAGGGCCAAGAGCCTCGCTCCCCAGGGTGTGGGCTCCTCTTGAAAGAGAAGTCATGTCGTACAGAGGTGAGGGCAACGCAAGCCTCTTGGCACAGATTTATTGTATCTGGTGTCCTTTATGCCAATGGATCTGTCACACAACCCCTAAAAAAGATCACATTTCAAAGCTTATGGATTCCCTTTAAAACACTGATTGCACCCCCATGCAGGAGACTGCAGCTGGACATATAAAGGGATGTCTTAGAACAAGGTCACTTCGACTGTGTCCTCACCTGGTTCAGGGGTAATATGTGAGCTCAGGACCCTTCCTCACCTAGGAGGAGCTTTTCTTTTGCAGACAGGTTAATGTGGGGAGATGTTAAAAAAAAAAATAAAGGTTTAAGTAGCTCACCTGCTGGGTAAGCTTTAGGACCTTGAGCTAGCTCTAGAAAGACACTGAGAAAATCTTAGTGGAGGTAGGCAGGTGGAATTTTTGAGGTCTTGCGGCCTGATCCCAGACATATTCCTCCCTACAGGGTCCCTGTCCCTCACCCTAAGCTACCCGGACCACATTAGGTAGCTCTGGCTTCTGTTGACCCCAACCCCTTAAGTACGGATTTGGAGCCACAAGACTCCTGCTTTGCAAACATCGTAAGGGAGGGAGGGCCGCAGCAGGAGACCGCCACGCACTGGTCACTCCACCCATCGCTGGCCCTGTTTTTCTGACAGCTGGGACTCACATTCAAACAAACGCCACAGTTCAGCCACGCGGAAACCAGGCCTGATGCTTCTCAGAACAAGCTTTATGGGAATGGATTCCAGGCTTGTAAAATTTGGCAGGAATCATGGCTGGTTACCCTGCACAGAATATCTGGCCAGCTTTGGAGGTAATTATCTGCCTTGGTTTTGTAACTAAAAACTACTGGCAAAGGAAAGAGGAAAATGGGGTAGGGGATCATTTTTAAGAGTTTTGTCCTAGTGTAGAGGCCAAAAAACAAAAAAAACCAAAAACGTATTCAAGAATCAAAATAGTCCGGGTTCCCAACAAACATACCTATCGCTCCCATGTCATCCACGTAAGGACTTTTGGCTCCCACGATTCCCCCGAAACATTCTTTCTGGGGTGCACAGTAGGATTTGTCCAGGTGAGTCTTTCCATCACTGTCCACCATGCACCATTCACAGTCCAGCACACCAAAGCAGTCCCTGCCAGAAAGACGATGCTGAGTGTTCAAGGAAGCAGGGCTGGGCAGGGGACAGCGTATGGACTTGGGCATCAGACAGCTCTCAAGAGCTCCATCACTTACTAGTGCTGTAAGTCCTTGAGCTTTAGTTTCCTTTCCTTATAAAAGAAGGATAACAACAGTCTGCCAGGGGATAGCTGTTTTATGTCTCTCAACAGCTTGGAAATGAGAGAAATAAAACCGTTCTCCCTGTGGATCATACCACAAAATCCACACATCACAGATTAGTGCAGGATTATCCCAAATCATCTTACAAGACCAAATGGCCCCAAAGTTTGTTAGACTTTGTCCTGACCCCAAGTGTAGGGTCATTTAAAGAAAAAAAAAAAAAAGGAAGGAAAAGTGGTCAAATAAATTGGGGAAATACTAGATCCATTAAACAGGTTTCCTTACTGCCAGTTTCTTAGAACTTTTTATATGTTAAGTGCATTATGACTTTCTAAGAGGATGTGTGCAGGGTTTCTCAAATTTAACTAATTTTGAGTTACTGCCCAACATCCCAAATTCATCTATCTGATGCCCGACCATTCCTTTGCTAAAACATGCACTAAAAGTAGAACTGGCTGCCCCTTCCACCCACTGACTGTTTAATCAAATGGCAACCTGCAATCGCAAGAAACAAATCACCCCACTCCCACCCCTGTAGTCCACCACAGACACTATCCCCATGACGGCTAGTCCCAAACATCCTAGAGAGGAGGGAGAGGGAGTAGGGGACATGCAGTTTTGGTTCTCAAAGCTACCATGAAACCTACCTGCTTTCTAAGAAAGCAGAATCGATGAGCTATGGTGTGTCACACATAGAGCTGGGTTCTGGTTCAGGAACCCAAGAGATTCCCCCCCCCTTCGCCCTTGCTTCTTCGGGCCAGGTCCCCTCTCATGCCTTTATTCCAAGAGTAACTTTCCCGTCCACAGATGAGGTGACTAACATGCAATACAAATGCCAAGTAGCTACAACTACTTGGAAACTGGACAACATTAAGTCTGCTGGATAAAAGGCTCATAGGAATCATTTTTGGGTCTGAAAAACTGGTACACCTTTAAAAAATATCAAGAAAGAGAATTCTAAATACCAGCTGGAAAAGCCCAATGAGGCTGCTAGTCACCATTCTTTACTCGGTTCTACTCCTGCAGTGATTGTGTCGATGTAAACGCAAGCACTGGGCAAGGCTTACCCGCTTTCCATCCTCTGGCTGCACCGACTGTTGACACACTGGTGAAGGGCATCTTGCAGGCCAGGGTCAATAGCTGTGTATGTCACTGGCTCCTGGTGGACCTCGCAGCTTGGGTTTCTAGGCAGGAGCAAGTCTGGAGGTTAGGACCAACACCGCTCACATTCCAAACTCATCATGCCCCTGGCCCTTGATAGCGTCACACAGATCTGGGTTTGAATCCTGGCCACTTAACTAGATGTAACCTTGGGCCAATCATTTAACCACTCTGAGCTTCAATTTGTTCATCTTTATGTACAATAATTTATATAGATATATAAAAAGGAAGTCATAAATATTCCACAAAACAGGAATGTATATAATCAGAAGTGAAAGTTATCTCCCTGACTTACCATTCTAAATCATTCTTTTCCAAGGTAATCACTATTAACAGTTTAATGAGGGTCCCTTTAGACATTTTTTTCTATGCTTAAACATACACCTGTATATCAGCACACACAGGATTCCTTCATTTAAGTTCTAGAGAAGGGATTTACCCCAACTTATTTAACTGTGGTCTTAAGATTTGTCACTAATAATATGAAGAACACTAGGTTAGGCGTAAGCATGTGCGCATGAAAGGTACCTACAGATTTATCACAGGGTTAATTTGAAAACAAAGTGACACAATGTGCATAAAGTATCTGATGCGTGGCGGACACTTAGTGAAATGCTTGCAATAGTCTCATCGTTTTTGTGTGGACCACAAATAATTTTAAACATTTTCACAGCATTTGAATGTAAACCTGAAAGAGGACTTCATTTTAAGGCTTGAAATCTGACTCGGGGAACAGTTATTAGAATGAATCACCTTCTTATACCACAACCCAAAACAAATCTATAAAGGAGGCTCCCAGGGTGCCTGGGTGGCTCAGTTGGTTAAGCGACTGCCTTCGGCTCAGGTCATGATCCTGGAGTCCCAGGATCGAGTCCCGCATCGGGCTCCCTGCTCGGCAGGGAGTCCGCTTCTCACTCTGACCCAACCCCCTCTCATGCTCTCTCTCTCTCTCATTCTTTCTCTCAAATAAACAAAATCTTAAAAAAAAAATAAAGGAGGCTCCCAGTGTGTACAACATATATATTACACATATTTATGTACTATGTATGTTTTACCGGTTCTCTGCATTGGTGAGGTTGCCGGTGCACTCATTGACCTCTAGAGGGCACTCACAGGGACATTCGCATTCATTTTGTTCCATTCTGAAGGGCAAAAGGAAAATCACTATGCAGAGGGTCACTGACAAACTTTTTATACTGTACACGTACCAGAAGAAGGAAAACAGAAGACACTGTGAGCTAGTTAAAAGAGACAGTCAAAGGGAAGTTGCACTAAAGGTTTAAATATATAATTGGCTTCAATCCACGACTCTTCAGCAAACTGCACAGCTGGAAATACCTCAGTAACCAGGACCTCCCTCTTCTCCGGGACACACCCCTGTGCTTTCTGTTTATTTTGCAGATGCCGCTATAAAATGCCTGGCATCGGTTCAGATAGTCAACAGTGGGGTAACGAGAGCCCCATTGCATTTTTACCGGTGACAGTTGAGACAGAGCCGATCCACCATGCTACAAGCACAGAAGGCAAGAGAGTCGCACGTTTCATTGACGATGCCAACGAACGCATTAGTTCCTGGGATCCTCGCCAGTCTGTACTTAGAACAGTGGCTGCCATGCACGAGGTTCGTCAGATCTCCCTGGAGACAACGGAGGTGTCAGAAGTAACAGACAACAATGCAAAGATTCAGCCCCGCCATGGTGAAAACAACCCTTCAACCACCTGCTGAAAATAGCTTACAATAAAACTTTATTTCTGACTACAAAAGTAATACAGAGTCACTGTAAGTTGGAAAAGAGAATTTTTTTCTTAATACCATTGGAGATCAATTCCCAATTCCCACTTAACAGTTGTGTATATATTATTTATTCTTTTATCTATGCTTTTTATAGCTGTTCTTGTAATCTTTTTAAACACATTACAATACATCATAACATGAAAATAAGTGCAAGAAACAATGAAAGACAACTTTTGGGTGAGGAATAGTTTAAAATGCATTCAAAGGCACACCTAATCCACCAGAAAATGTGCATTCCTTGCCCCACCTTCGATAACAAACCTCTGTTCTTCTAGAATAAAATTTAAAAAAATTTAAAAACTCGTTAGGAATCCAGTTTCCTGCTTCCAGAATATTTAAATATTAAATAATATTTAATAAAACAGAATATGTAAATAACTAAAGCAAGCATCCATTTCTTCATTCTATGACAAGAAAATGTGATAGCCAGTCTTGAAATGCCAGATTGGTCTACCATACAGAAAACCAAAGATTCAAAAGCAGCATTGTGAAGTTGAGTATGGTCCTTCTTTTCTGCATGTGTGTCCAATGCAGTAGGCCAACTAAGTAATCCCATGCTCATTTCCATGCCAGTCATCCCTTATATGTGCGTGGTGAGGATAAGCCGAACTCTGAGAATCATGGCACTGAATGGTTTCTTAGAGGTCTAGATGAATTTTCCACTGCCTGGAAGATGCCCACCTCTACTATATCAGCAATCATATAGGCCTATCATCCTGTTAGCTCCACTAGCCAAAAATGCTCCAGTTCCATTTTGGAATAACTTGAGCTGTTAAGAAATTATTCTAATTCATCTTCCACTAAAATTTTGCGTTTCTGAACAATTCTCCTGGAGTAGTCTGGCTTTGTCTGCTGAAGGCTCAGGAAGTCAGTGTACAAATAGTAGAAGATACACAGAGGAAATCAGACTTTCCTAGAACAACCATACCTGGCAGCTTCTTCTGATCACACTTCAAGTGTGTCAATGTCTCCTTTAAGGAGAGTGTTCCTTAGAATGGGGCAAAGTCCAGAGTCATGACGAGTCCCTTTGCTCTGAAAGCACTATCCTATTCATCTATTCATTTTTTAAACTCTTCTGTTCTCCAATTGTTTTTGCAACTGCTTTTTTGAGAGTAGGATTTTTCAATCAACCCAATGCATCTTTAAAGTTTTTAATTACATATTTCATGATATAAATACCTTTTCTAAATAAAGAGCTTCCTCGTGAATAACTTTTTGAATGTTGGTTCTGCCATTACCCATTTTAGTTCTTTCCCAGCTAAGATTATTTGCAAATTAATAAGAATATTCTTAAGGATCTTAAACCATATCTAGGTAAGTTTGCAGTTACCTCGGATCAAATACTTAGAGTACTCTAAGCTACAAAAAAGAAGTTATTTTTAGATGATCTACATGAGAGTTCCCATCTAACTGGGTGGATGACCAAGAAATGACCTAATTTGGCCTTAGGAATTTAAGGAGGCTGCAGGATCTCCGAGAGACAGGAAGAGGGGAACACATGGGGCTGCACATATTTACATAAGAGTGTGGGAACAGACTGCTGCAGACATTTCAAAGGGTTTCGGCTGGGTGAGTCTTTAAACAAACAAAACCAAAACAAAACACCAAGTGTGAGACCTTAAAACATTCACTTCTCCACTCTGGGCTTTACACCCCATCCTGGTCCAGCTGGGGAGCTGGACTGAGGTCCTGTTCTATCATTCTGTAATTCTCAGGCAATGAAACAGCCAAGAGTCGTACTCAGATATTAACTATGATTCCGTTTCCTATTCCACGGTGGGACGGGATGTGAGAACGCAAGGGACCAACTTACCACAAGGCTGGTGTTGAATTTATAAAACCTCTGGACCGTTCTGTCACTGAAGCTGTTGCACAGGTTTTTCTTTACAAAGTTTGGGTGGTTCAGGATATCGTTTGCTACCAAGGGCTCCTAGCAAGGTCAAGCAGACAGAAGACACAAGCCATGTAATTAATGAGTCACAGGCTGTGGGAGCACTGAGCTATCGGCTTCGCAACAAGTACCTTGTGGGTAATATGCTGTTGTTCCACAGGTGCGTGTCCTTTGGGGTCAATGAGGGTTGGATGTGCCACCAGATAACCCCTGTCCTCCATTATGAAGCACCTGTGCCAAAACAAGGGACATCCCTCAGTAATACAAACTTTCTGCACTTTCAGAGAGCATTTATCTTATCCCCCAAATTGCATTTATCTTGGTAAAACCTCACTGAAACAAATTTACTGAAGGTCGCCTGGCAGGCAGGCAGACAGATACGTTATTATTATTTTTTTTAAATGAGGGTGGGGCTTGAACTCACAACCCTGATCAAGACCTGAGCTGAGATCAAGAGTCAGACACTTCATCAACTGAGCCACCCAGGTGCCCCAACAGATACATTATTCTTGAGCTGATAGATTACCCAGTATACAATTTATGGTAACAAAGTTACACCTGACTCTGAGGCTACCTACCTAGTTCCTACAGAATGTGTCCACTTAGTTGGAGGAGGATGGACTCAAAAATCTTTTGCAAGGATATGTAAGTGGCAAGTTTATTCTTTCTTTCAGAGGAGGAAGACTCTGAATGAAGTGGCCTTGGGTATTTACAGGTGCAAACTTTAAGCCATACAATTTCTTCTTTTGATGATAAATAAATATGAAATACAAACTTCCGGGGCATGCAAAAATATATTTGATGGAAACACTAAATAAGCAAAGCTAGAACTGCTCTAACCAAGCCTATGCACTGCTCTATTTTATTCTGCATGTTGTTGTAACACTTTGCTATGAATCCTGCATTTCCCTATTAAGGGCCAATGAAATTTAGCAGTGATAGGAAGCAGGGGCCATGAGAGTGAAATAAGAAAGCTATTTTAAAAGAGTGTCCTGCATTAAATCAAGGGAATAACCTGGCTTTGATCAGACACGTTCTTTTGAAATTAGGAAGTGAAGACTCTTTTAGTTCCATGAACCTGTTTCTGAGGAAATGTAAAAGGGAACAGTCCAAGTGCCTGAAATTCCCACAAAGACTTTGGCTTAATAACTAAGTTAACATCTAAAGTACCTTCTGGGCTTTCTAGCACCCAAGAGCTGGGAAACCTCTAATTATTGACTCAGAGAGAAATAAGCGCTTTCAGAGAATTCTGTGCCACAGTTATTCTCCTTGTTACGAGACAAGTCTGTTTGTCTCAATCATAAATTGCATGCAGCTTAGAAAAATGAAAGAACAAAAACCTTCGTAATTGAACTCCCAGGCCATGGACTGAATTTCTGGTCTTGACCCTGACAACGTGGATGCCATTCAACCAGAGACATCGGACATCATTTTCTTTGCATTTTGCAGCTAGATAGGAAATGGTGTCCCTGAAGGGCTTACCTGATTTTGTTGCCACCATCTTGGTTGCAAACTGGTAATAAGTCCATCAGAACCTTGTAGAAGTATCTAAGTGTGAAGTCGATGCCCATCACAGCCACAGTATGCCCGGAAGACAGCTGTGTACTTCATGTGAAAAAGATCAGGGAGAACAAGAGGCACATCTTATTTAAAGGTAAAAGTTACATTCAGTCATAAGGACGCTGTATGGTATTAGAAATATATGCCTACTGTTTCTCCACATCTTTCACCCTATAAAAATGATCAACTAAATGACTGACTTGGCACAATACGGAGATTTGCTGAGAGGAAAACTTAAGGCTAAAGGTAGAATTTTCTAGTAAGACCAGTCCAAAATACGGGCAGCTATGGAATATGGCTAGCCCTGACTTTACATGTTCAGTGGCTGGACTACCCTTTGGCAAGAATATGGGAGTGGCAGGAAGAGGCATCAGTGGGAGATTGGATGCATGACTACTATGGTTCCTCCCAGCAAGGAAACTCTAGACAAGGAACCTGAGTGATCCCTTTAATTATTTCCCTCATTTTACTGATAAGGAAACTGGGATCTCATAAAGGTTAACCGACTAGTGTAACATCATACAAAACTCAGTAAAGAACTAGGTCTCATTTTCTTTCTATGACACTAAGGTTGGCTCTACTCAAAACACAGCTCAGATTCTAGAAAGAAACTCACCTCGTTCACAGGCTAGTTCCTTCTCCAATCTAAAATTCTACCCTCAGAAAGATGAGCACCAAAGAGGATAAAGTTGGGTAGTACCACATGGTGCTTGCTAAGCCTTTTGCTCTGGAATCAAGCAGATCTGGGGTCAAATCCTGGCCCCTCTAGGTTTCCATTGGTGTGGCTCCTGGGAGGCTACTTAACCTTTCCAAGACCCAGTTTTCTTATGTGAAAATGGGCAGAGTAGTATCTACCTCACAAGGCTGTCATTGGACTTAAATGAACCAGTGTGTTTATAGTGCCTAGCAAGCTGCCTAACCTATCCAAAATACCCAACAAAAAGCAGTTACTCTAAAGAAAAGCAACCAGGGCTTAAAGCTCAGACCTGGACAGAGAGTCAACTTATTGTTCTTCTAAAGAAATGCTCGCTATATAAGAAGCATGGACTTCTCACGAGGAACCTTGGTTCTTTCTAATCTATGATCACGGGCATTTGGAGGAGGTTTGGGTTATTTGGCCAATGAGCTCCTGTACCTTTGTGGCTGGGAATTTGCAGGGTTTACCCAACGTGGGACATTACAGGGGCCCGTCATTACTATCACACACCTGCCTGATTTCTTATAAAGTACCAACAGAAAAATGGGGCTGTTATAGACAAAAGTCTTAAAAATAGTAACTGGAAAGCTCAGAAGAAACTTCCCAAAGTAAAATCATCTTTTGGAAAATCAAAACTTGGGAGTGAAATTAGCTTTGTTATGTAGACAACTGTCCCCCTCTGGTTACTGTCAACATCAATACTAACATATCATTCCCAATCCTCAACCCGCCCTCCCCCGTCCCCCCACCAAAAAAAAAAAAACAAAAAAAAAAACCCTTGAAAACCATCAGAAAGGACCTTGACCCACAATGAAATTTCTGTCAGAGCTTTGCTGTCAAAATTGTGTTTGGCATGAGACGAAGGGGAACCATGTTGTGAGGTTATCTCTGAGAGGCTATTGCCTCAATAAGATCTTTCTATTGTTCTGCTTGATTTCTTTCACTTAGCATAATCCCCTCCAGTTCCATTCATGTCGATGCAAATGGTAGGTACTCATCCTTTCTGATGGCTGAGTAATATTCCAAGCAGAGAAAGACAATTATCATATGGTTTCACTTGTATGTGGAACATAAGGAATAGTGTGGAGGACCGCAGGGGAAGGGAGGGAAATCTGAAGGGGGAGAAATCAGAGAGGGAGATGAACCATGAGAGGCTCTGGACTCCACGAAATAAAGTGAGGGTTGCAGAAGGGAGGGGGGTGGGGTAATCGGGTACTGGGTATTGAGGAGGGCACGTGTTGTGATGAGCACTGGGTGTTATACACAACTAATGAACAGTTGAACACTATATCAAAGACTAATGATGTACTATATGCTGGCTAACTGAACATTAAAAAAAAAAAAAAACCTTAAAAAAAAAAAAAAGCTTTCTATTGTTACTGAAGCCACTTAAATTCTACCATGGAAGAAATCCAAGACTCGGTTACCTTACACGGCATTTGTTTTTTTCAACAAATAATGTTTTCCTGAAGTATCAGTCCAAAGAAGTCTAAACCTCTCTTACTTGTCCAGGAAAGAGCGAGGCGTCTAAACAGCAGGCACCATTATGATAATATTTACTGAGTGTACACAATTTACAGGTGCTCTGGTGGGCATTTGAATACATCATTTCAATTATTTCTCACAAAGACTTTATAAGGCATTATCATTTCCAGAAAACTGAAGCTTGGAAACATTAAGTATTTGGAAGTGGAAGCAAGAATGTAAGCTCAGGGTCTTCAACTTCAGAATATATTCCTAACCAGTATGTTATACTGCCTCCGTAGAGATGCAGGACATTCAAGAGTGTCCAAGCCATTTTACATGATCTATTCAATTTCCTGTGGCCATGTCAGGAAGGAATTAGAGTTCCCATTTTATAAATGGAAAATCAGGCTTAGAATGGCTAAAAGACTTAAACAAGACTGACCACCTTTTACTTATGATAGACCAGTTCTGGCTCTTCCTACGAGAGAGGACTTGGTGAAAAATGCAACTCAGGTTTTTCTGAGACAAGTTAATTTTGTTTCTAAACTTCCCCTGTGTAACTGCTATCTGCTCCAATGTGATTAACATGCTGAAGGAAAAGCATGGACATTGCCCATGTAAGCCTAGCATTCATATTTTTACCTGCATTTCGAAAATGTACAGTTACCATAGCAACTCATAAAGAATACCATAGAAGAGTCAAACCACGCCTACATTTCAGGGTACAAAGGACCATGCTGTTTGCAGCACTTCTGTGAGATTTTCACTGCCAAAGACTCATCTGACCAGTCCCTTAATCGCTGATTGTACTTCATCGTCTCTGCTAGCATTAACATTCTCCAAACAATGCACACTTAGACTCTCAGGCTATTAATCATGCTCACGGAAGAATCCCAGGGCAGTTACTAGGATAAGTGAATGCTGAGTTAGAAAAGCCCCTCCCCAAGCTATCAGCTATCACTTCTGAAAACCAAGGCTGAATGAGAGTGCTTCGTGACTAGCTGAACACTAGCTTAAGCTCTCTTTTCTGACCTATTAAAATGCCAGAGGTTTAAGGTAGACATAGCATGATATTAGAAGTAATTGTCACTTATTTGGGACTGGACATTGTCAAGTCCAGTGCTAAACACTCCAAATGCATCATGTGTCATTTTCATTGTATCAGTTCAACACAGGCATGGTCACCTGTTACATAAATGAGGCTCTGAGAACTCATGGAACACAGTCATAATACAGGTATTTCACATTTATCAAGCACTTACCATGTGCCAGGCACCATTCTAAGAGCTTCATGTATATTATTTAACGTAATCCCTAATCATTTGAGATAGGCCTATTAATATCCCTCCTTCATAGGTAAGGGAACTAAGGCAAAAAGGAACTTGTTTACAGTCAGAGAGGCAGTAAATGGCAAATACACTTTTTCAGAGTAGGATCACAACTCAGGAGGAGGTTAGGTTCTCAGGTTGGTGCATGAAACCAAAATCACCGGTGATCGCTTGAAAAAAGTACCTTTTGCACAGCCCATCTATCAATACCTCCATTAAAGCTACAGTCGCTTTGGCTGACAACCAGAAGTGCAGTTGACTTGTATTCTAAACTATGATGAGTGAAAAATACACAGCCCTAAATAATAAAAGCATGCTCAGTGATAAGGCAGATGTTCAAATGATCGAGTCCATGGGACTACATATTGATCAAGGCAAGAGCAGATACCTATTCCCGGAATACACTCTCACTGAGTGACTGGTGGAGAGAATCCAGGATTGAAGTGGCCATTTTCCACTCTTGTTAAAGTCAAACAGCTAAACTTGTATAGATTAAGCACACTATAAAAAGTAGCCAAATAAGGGAAGTGAACTGAAGGTTTCTCTAACTTGAAATCCCATCATATTTGCATCGTGCTTCATTTGGGCTGACACCATAAATATTTATAAATCAGCTAAGTGAAGCTTCTCCCACCCATCCAAATTTTAACAAAAACATGTACACAAATGTAAAAGAGCGTTAAAGTCTGCACCTCCCTGTGGCCACGTCTTCCCCCTGCCCCCACCACAAGGTATACTGTATAGAAGTAAAAGATAATAGCACTTGATATCGAGTGGCAGGTGTCAGAGCCTGATGGAACAAAAACCAAGTAAGACCCACACAGGCAGTCATTCTCTCCCTGCCACTCCCACCCCCAAGATCTGAAGCCCAGGGCTGGCCCACTGTCATTGTCATCAAAGACCAAGGTGACTGCCTGCTCCTCAAAGAAACCACCTTTGTTTACTTTTTCCCAACTGATGAGACTACATGGGAGAGATGGCAAGTCTCCTATGCAGGCAAGAGTAGGTGTATGCCTGACAGATGGTCTGTTAAGGAGAACACTGAAAAGTTCTGTTCTAAACGAGTATTTACTTGTTTAGATGTGACAGAGCCACACAGATACCATGCCCTGCAAAGCAATCACTATTTGGCTGGCGGCAGGCCCCTGCTTTCCATGGAGACACAGGTCATGATATTGAAATTCCAACACAGTACTGTTTCCCAATTCTTGCTCCCAAGGAACTTGTGTTAGAAGAATTCTCCTGAATGTCAATCATTTGATATATAATGAGCACCAGTGAAAAGCATAAAGTTAAGCAAGAAAAAATCTGTCTCCTGTAAATTTTAAGGCATCATTACAGGTCCTAGCCAAAATATGGGCTTTCTTCGTTGCCAGGGGAAAACACCTATTTGTATAATGAAGGGATTAAAACAACACGTGTGACTTGCCTTTCTACCCAACGTTTCACTGCCATTTGTAGCTTAAATACTGAAACCTCAAAGGCCTGAAATACAAAGCACCCAAATTATATTTACAATGATACTGACATTTAATAGCATTCTTGGAAAATCAATTTGCAAAATGCCTTTTTAGTTTTCAAGAGACAATATAAGGACAAAGTGACAATAACCACAAACTCCGATATCATTCTAAAAAGTTATTCTTCTAAAAGAAGATATTCACACTCCAGGTTGCCTCCCATCAAAGGTCATGCTTTTGCCACTAATCCTTGGTTGTCTACCGGACTTCCGAATTTTCAAAATATTCTTGACGTGTTTTAAAAAGGACTAAGAAATTAAAGTATTACCTGGATGAATGGATTGTGTGACTGATGGTTACTACATAGCCAGCTCCTCCAACATCTAAGTAAGGGCCAGTCAAAGAAATCAAACCTGGATTAGCTACTGCATGGAGATACCTAATGGAGACAAGAGAAAGTCGCGTTATTTTAGGGTATGAAAAACTACTCTGTAAATGTCAAAGAGAAGTGAATGTTTAACTCTACAAAGTATTTATTATAAATCGTGCCTATGTTACATTAGAGTTCAAAAGGATTCCTATCTTTTATCTCTGACTGTAGCAACACAAGAGGTCAAGAAAATCTGAACTTCTTCTGTAAGAGACACTCAACTCAGTATACATTTGAGCTTTTCATAAGATCTATGGGATAGATGTTTTAGACTAATATAAAAAGAAATCAATAAATAATGTAGAAACAAATCCAATTTGGCCCATGAAACTGCCCCCCGGATTGGTACGGACAGTACAAATGACAGCCAACTCACGTGTGACTCAGTTACTAAGCCCACAAGACCGGAAATCCTGTTTTTATGCCCAAGTTGACCCCTCCCCCCATGATACACCCTGACTAGCTTTTGTTTTTGAAAACCTGAGTAAAAATGAAGCCCAGAGGTAAAAAGAAAAAAAAAAAAAGGATTTATATTTATTTTTCATAGGTCATAGATGGGCTGTAATTTGATGCCATCATCATGTGCAGGGACATTAAATATCCCCACTATGGGCATACTGCATGCAAAGCAGGACTCAAGCAAAAATGCTAGGAATTGAAATGGCCAAGTATAAAACATTTCAGTCTCCAAATTTCAATGAAGAGATAAAAACACTGTCAACAGAAGAAACCCACAAAGCTGTTAATACTACATTAAAAAAAAAATTCAAAAATATGTCTTCACTGCCATGAAAGTATCTTCGTTACTGTGACTGCCTGAAGTTGCTTTATTGTATGTACTTATCATGTCTCTCCAGGATTTGGGGGAACCTTTGATAATGGGAGCCCCTAAAACTCACCATTGTCTCCTCGTGGGATCAAATGCTTTGTCCATGAGGGAACCAGGATAAATTCTAAGGACGCCATTGGGTGTTGCTATGTAACGGCGGACAATGTACGTGTTCAGGCTACTCATTTCCATTTGTGTCATCCATTCATCTGTGACGTGGCTGGTGGCCATTACTTCATTCCTGACAGAGAACTGGGAAACAAAGGAAGACATAGCAGGGATCCTTTAAGACTCACATGAAAAGAGAGTGGGCTGTTGGCAGCGCTTCCCAAAGCTCCCTTGCAGAGAAGCCAAGCCCAATTACTTCTTAAAAATCTTTCCACAGGAGATGGATATAGCCAAACTTGGTGAAAACAAAAGCTTACTGAAACATAGCCAGTGGATGTGTGATTTACTCAATTGTTCATCCTAGCGAGGCTTTCTGCATTTAAGAGGAAAGATCCTATAGTGAAGCATTACACACACAGATACACAGGCACACACGTGCGCGCGCGTGCACACACACACACACACACACGCACGCACCCCAGCTAAATCTCTTTTCCTTAAACTTCATCATCATGTTTATCTCAACAGACCACAGGGGCACTTTACTTCTTTCCCCTGGGAAAAACAGGGCTGGGAAAGTTCCACTGATCTCTAAATCACACCCCCCCTACCTAGAAAACCCCTAGTGCATCTAAGGCCTGAAAGAGATTCTTCATCTGGCCCAAAGGGCTTCTTAATCCGTCAGAAGGGTCATCGCCAACCAGCCTCCTGGGGGCCACACACTGCCTTTCTGGCTCTCCAGCTGAGAAGCACAGACCCAGAGCTGGGCTTCCTACTTCAAAGGTTCCCTGCCAGGCCCCCTCCCAGGTCTGTACCCCAGAAGCAGGGCCCCGAGCCAGCACTCACTTTGAGCCCCGGGTTAGCAATGAGGCGGGTGTTGTCACTGAGATAGGCCGTGTAGTGCTCCACCATGCGCTTTGTCTCTGGCTGGCTGAGGTGTTCATAGGGGGAGGAAAAGCTACCAGCAGACAGCATGACAGTTGGACTTTCTGAAAGACAAGCAAACAAAGCAGGCCTGAGAACGCTGAGACCTCATGTCAGGCCCAAACAAAAGCATCACGGAGGCTCTGCCAATCTGTTAGCCATGGTGGCTTAAAGTCTTCCGTGAGGAAAGTGAAGAACTCAACACTAGAAGGAGCGAAGAAGGAAACAGCCCTCATTCTCTCCCTTCAGGGAGTTTGCAGTCGTGAGTGAACCACAAGAGACACGTGTACAAATAAATACAAGTGCCTAAAATGGCAAATGCTCAAAATATCTTAGATCTACGTATGACATCCTACACTTCTTAGGATTAAGGAGGCAGCATAGGACATGGAGCCACACTGGACTGGGTTGAATCTGGGCTCCACCATTTCCTGGCCATGTGATGTTGGGTAAAGTTGTAATATATGTGATGCTTTTGTCATCTGCGGAGTTGGAAATTATGGCACCAAACTTACAGTTATGGTGAGAAGTACATCAGTTAGTTTATGCAAAGCAAATGAGTCAATAAGTGTAAAGCATGTAGGATGGTGTTGGCACATGACAAATGCCTTCTGAGTGTTAACTACTATTATTCATATTGGTACTGATATTTCAAAAGACGGAAAAATGGAAGAGTGGACTCAATGCAAAAATTAAAAAAAAAAAACTATTCTTACAGACAGGGAGAGCCAAATTTGGCATAAACAAAAATTTTGCTGGTCCTATCTAAGAGGAAAGCCCAGTTCTCTATTTAAGACAGAAATCCTCACAATGAATTACATTATGAAACAAAAACACTACATCTCTGTCTGTGAAATTTCCCACTGTTCAATTTTATAGTTTTAGAAACTTTCGGAAAGCACTGTCCACAGTCCTGTGTCTCATCTCATTTAAATCTGTCGGTCATTTTTCATTCCTTTTGTTAGTTCTCACTCACAGTGCCTTATTTCCTTGTGGCCTGGCTATCTATGACTGTGCAGGACACTGTAGTTCAAAACAAATTTGTAGAATGAGTTGAGTCCTAACAGGATGGGGGAAGTCCTTCCTCTAGAAAGGACTGTTATTTGCTTCTGCCAGGCACCAGACCCCAGGATGAGGAATGGTGGTAAGGCGGAGACAGCTCTCAACAAGACAATGGGATACTGGCCCAAGCGCTGCACCGTGGGACTTCCATACTCAACTAGCCCACGACAGTTACTGTGTGAGGTTCCTTAGACCACTCAGGTGACAGGAATCCCAAGTCAAGGGCTTCTTCAGTTTCAATTCATACTCACTCTGGAGATGTAGTTCCTCAGGACCTCTGCTAAAACATGTATATGTGGTGGGTGAGAGGGAGGGTTTTCATGTGTTAGCCTCCACATTTGGGGGGCCTTGGATTTGATTTCTGCCTCTCCCCCTAGCCCTAAGAAGCTACTCCCTAAAGCACAGTTTAATCTCCCAGTTGTTTCTTCTGGATTGGTAAATAGATGCATTGCAAACGTGGCTTTAAATATTGGCTTTCTTCTCTGGTTTCTTATATTCTCCTAGACTTCGGTCTAGTTCCTAGCTATCATGTTAGTTCTTTGAAACTTTTCAGAAAGTTTTTTTTACTCTCAAGTTTCCATCCATCTTTAATTGTCCTCAGTAGGATAGATCAGAATTACGTAGTCTGTCATTATCAGAAGAAAGTGCTTCCAGTGATGCTATGTCTGATTTAATTCTCATGATACCACATGGGACAGCCAGGGAGATTAGTATTATAGTCCTATCAAGGAGAAGAAAACCAGAAGCTTCAAAAGTTTCGGTTGCCTAGCAGCGTGCTATGGATTCATGTGCATATGCTCATGGGGCCTTCTGGGCACAGATGCACTAGAGAGAGAGGACTGTCCCTCTCAGAGAGCTTAGGTACCAGTTGGAGACTAGAAATTTTTTTAAAAGAGGAAAACAACAAAATAAGAACGATACAGTAATATAGTAAATGTCAAAAGGCAAAATCCATAGTACTTCGGGGACAAAGGAGTAGGGCCAGAGGTTAAGGGGAGAGACACTTTGGGAGTGGGCCTTTCTTGTAGTGACAGAGACTGGGCATTTGAGCAAAGGCTGCTGCAGTGACTTGGGTCGAGGGAGAGAAAAAACCAAGACACAGGACCCAAAGCTTTGTGTCTAGGAGGTAGACACGTAAAGCTACACACATACATGTATACTTAACCGCACTGGATGATGTACACTTACAAAAATTCCTCTTTGGGTACCAAGACAGACAATGTCCCTCCTTCAGCCCTCCTGATAGGGCTCTGACATAGATTTAACACCTTACCTCAAAATCCCCATCACTGATGAAATTAGACAGAAACCACTTTTTTGCCATTGTCTCCTTTTTTTTCATTCCTTTTCCATTATAGTTGGAGTATCCTGCTTCATTTTCATTACCAACTAAACTGTCCTTGGTGACCCCTGCACTTTGTCCTGAGGAGGTTCTACCGCCAAGGTGAAGTTGGGTGGTATAGTGGAAAGACTGCCCAGTGAAAGTCAAACCCTGGCCTATGGTCTGTGTGATCTAGAATTAATCCATTAGTCCTGCGTCAAGTCTTTGAGTTGATAAACTCTACATTTTGTGAGCATCTCTGAGACAGTACTGCCCATCTAGAATATGATGCAATCCTCAAGTGTAATATAAAATTTTCCAGGAGCCACATTCAGTAAAAAGAGGTTAAACTAATTTTCCTAGTGTATTTTATGAAACCCAATATAGCAAAAACATCACTTTACATAAAAATTAAGTGTTTTACATTTAAAGTAAATCTCAGCTTGGACTAGCCACATTTCAAGTGCTCAACAGCCACGTGGCTAGTGGCTACCATTATTGAGCAGTGTAGCTGAAGGGACTGTGCAAAGGAAATTAAAAAAAAAAAAAAATCTAAGCTTGAGCTTTTTTCTCATCCAGCAATATTACTGCACTTCCCAGTCTCAAATTGCCAAACAGTGACCTCATTTTTATCAGTAGTTGTATTGAGCTTGTTCCCACAGCATTTAAGAGAATCATGCCCATGTTGGCTATTCGGTGAGCATTTCTTAAAAATATGAGTTAAAGGGCATACATGTTCTTTTGTATAAAAGCAAACGACAAAAACCTCAAAACCTAAGTGAAAACAAACGTAAAAGCCAACCTTTTTTGACCGACCTCTCTGGCCTTCCTCAAGTTGTCTACACTGTTGGAACATGCCGTAGAAGAGATGACTCACTTTGGCCTGCTCTCCTGATCTCATAACGAGGCAGAAACTCTCCAGGATGGAATTTAAAAGATGGAAGCCGAACACAAGGGCTCTCCTGTGGAATCTAGACACTGGGGACTTCCATCCTTGATCCTCCACCCGCCGCCTGTGCCCCTTTCTACTCAGTTTGCCCGTTGTCTAATGAGTCTTAGTGTTTTTGAACCCAAAGAATTTTCAACAGTGAAAAAGAGAATGCCTGTTTTATAGTACTATGAGTACCACACAAACGCCCAGTATGTGCCTGGCACATGGTGGCACGCAATAAAAGAGGTGGCACCTCGGCATGGGAGGAGTGTGAGTCACATTTCAGCCTTGCTACTATCCTCATCTATAATAGGTCAACTCAAATGGTGAAAGCAAACTATATGGCACCTACATAGGTAAATTCCCTTTTCCTTTCTTGCAGTTACTTGCCTATTTCCTAAGCTCTTTTTGAAGACAGGGACCTGGGGTAGACACAGATATGCTACATAGGAATGCTACTACCCTTGGACCCCCTTTACTATTTCTCCATCTCTTAGCCTCTAGCCCTGTAGCCCCTTATCTCTGGATCTCTGAGCTTGCTTCTACTGGGCCATACTGGTGACTCTCTGATGGACTGTGTTCGGGCTACTAAAACCTCTTTGCCTAGCAGTAGCAGAAGGCTGAAAGATACAAAGGAATAGGAAAGTCCGGCTCCCTCTCCTGAGTCTGGGCAACCTCCTCAGGGTTACTTACACTCCAGAGCCCCCCTACAGCATTAGGCTGAGGCTGGAACTTCACCTAAAATCCGACTCTTGCTTGCTTTCTCCTCCTTTGCTATCCTGTTTCCCTCCCTTCTTCCCTCGTTTCTTCCTGGAGCCCATCCTGAATAAATCAACACACAAATCCTCGTCTCGTTATCTGCCGGAGAACCGGATCCAAGGCAAGGCCTCCAGTCATTTTCACATCTGTAGACCCCAGCTGGCATTTCTGCCATTTGGTATCTGGGTTTTTGTGGTCTGGTTTGGTTTTTTAATTCAAACCGATACTTATAGTGAGTTGCTATGAGTCAGCCCACAAAGGAAGCTGAAAAGAACGAGGGCTTTACCTAGAGTAGCCAACTGTTTGAAGTGAAGGCAAGCACTAGGCTGGCCCAGGAGGTCCAGCCGGTGGTAGAGCAGCTTGCTGCTGGGGACAGTGTTGAGGTTCTTCAGTTGCTTGACAGGTATTTCCGGTTGTATCACCACAATACAAAGAATAAAGGAAGTGTCCTGTACCTGGAAAAGTCAATAAAAAATTTCTAACACAGCAAATAAAGGTTCCCAGGGATAGTGACTTTACCTACATTGTTTTCTGCTCTCTCTCTGTCCCTGTCCCACATAGAGAAATATTTGATGAGTGAATGAAAGCCATGAAGATGGGGTGACAGAAACTACCTCTGGCAAAGGTTACATTTTCTATTTTTTGTTTTCCTTTCTGATTAAGGGAAATTACTGTATGTAACAAAATCATGAAGCCAATAAAGGGATTAGAAAGGAATCCCTTTGGAGCAGCAACCCCACGCCTCTTTTGCTTCTTTAGGCTAACAAATCCAAGCTGGAACATGGCATAAGAATACAGGACTTCCTTCTGTTTGGGTTTGAAATGCATTTTAAGATACAGAGTTGGTTTTGCAATGAGTATTCTGAGAATTGACTGTTTTGAAAGCCAATTATGAATATACACATGCAGCTCATACAGAATCTGGTTTATTCCTGTATTCCCGACTAATGCTTTCTCTTTTCCTGGTTGGAGATGAACAGGATCTCAGACTCATGAAAAGTACAAATCCCATGGCTGCCTCACAAAGCCTGCTTGACTTGTCATTTCAGACCACAGTAGGCAAACATTCTATAGCTTAGCCTAATTTATTAAGCTCATACGTACAAATAGGAGTACTTCCAAGTTCACTTTGCTCTTAGAAATAGACGCTTAAAGTTATTGGCAAGAGTGTCCACCAAAGAATAAACAAAACAAAACAAAAAACCGCAATCTACTTAATTCTAGCTCCTTAACTTAAAAATACAAGATAGCCAAACTTCTGTAAGTTCATTATATAAGGAGACAGGCAGATTCTATTTAAAAGATGGCTGGTCAATAAAGGGAACGTGTCATAACCAGCTAAGTTAAAACTAAAGGACAGTGAGAACTAAAGCAGCCCAAAGGATTTACTTCATGATCAAGGAGAAATTTTTAAGTAGGCAGGTTAGAGTTAAGTGTAATTTAGGGTTTAGGAAGATGGTTGCAGGATCTTTTTCAACACAGGAGAAATTTGCATCTCTGTGGGATTGCTTTCAAGTACTGCTGCCAAGGATATTCAGTTAGATTAGCAAATTTAATTCTTTTCGCCCACCGCCCACCGCCCACCGCCTCCATTAGAAAATGATAGCATCCTGTAGTGCATTTACAATTTCCCATCTCACATAGTCATCCTTTGTTTCCTGCATTACATGTTCCAAGGAACCAAAAGACAGAAACTTGGCCAGAGGGACCAGAATGTAATTGTTAGAATAGGGTCTATCCTGTTAGGAGAAAAATTAAAATGTCCCCTAAGCGTCCAAAAGCAATACTTCAGAAATAGTTCCTCGCTGGAAAGGAAAACGGATTTTTTTTTTTAAGATTTTATTTATTTATTTGATAAAGAGAGAGATAGCGAGAGCAGGAACACAAGCAAGGGGAGTGGGAGAGGGAGAAGCAGGCTTCCCACTGAGCAGGGAACCTGATGCGGGGCTCGATCCCAGGACCCTGGGATCATGACCTGAGTTGAAGGCAGATGCTTAACGACTGAGCCACCCAGGTGCCCCGGAAAATGGATTTACATTACCCGTCTTTTTTTTTTATCATGTTCTTAGCTGAAAAAAATAGTCTTTGCATTAAGGAACCAAAATATATCTATAAGGGCTCTCCATGATTGGGGAGTGTTTTTTTTTTTTTTTTTTCCACTGATTGCCCATGGGATTCATGTTTTGAAGTGAGCCATGCCTGTGTCACACAGGAACACAGTAATACCTTCTGAAGTCAATCCTTTCTTCTGTCTCAGCATGCAGCCTCCTCAAATGCTCAAAGATGGACTTGGGCTGCACAGTGACAGAGTAGTAATCTCTTAACGCTGCTAACATAATCTCTCACATTCTATTTAAATTAATTCAGTGAAATAATCCATCAGTATCAGCTCTATCTACGGATGCTAAGCAGTTTAAATAATCATTCGCAACACAAGCTGAGTCTATTTGAATTACATTTAGTAGAAGAATCCATTTTATTCCTGAAGACAAGAGGAGTATCTGCTCCCCTGCCCCCGAAAGTAACAAAAAAGAACTTAAAATTATTTCTTCATATTGCTAGGTAACCAGGCAAGCCTCTTTAACTTCTATCTCATTATTTATTACCTCTTTAATTTTTCACTTAATAGTGATGTTCTTGACAACTTTGGAACTCTGAGAAAGCTAACGACATGATCATATCCATTGGCTACAGAGAATGGCCAGAATTCATCGATACCACTGAAGAAAATCTTAAGAAGATAATACTTCTTTCCAAAATGTTAACAGTGGGTTTATTCACTGTGCAAAAAAGGTCTTAAAAATGCTCATATCTCCTTCTTTCTCTTTATTTTCTTAAGGATTTTATTTTTAAGTAATCTCCACACATGGGACTCGAACTCACAACCCCGAGATCAAGATTGCATGCTCCACCAACTGAGCCAGCCAGATGCCCCATCCTTCTTTCTCTTTTAATGCCAACAAAATATTAAGGAAGATATTTTCTTGGGATGCAACTGAGTTGCTTTCAATCAGGACATACCAGAGGTAAACAACCTCCAATTTCAAATATAAAAAGTATTTTTCAATGAAGTATTCTGGTGTGTGGCTTACCCTTTCTGATCTGAAAATTAGGCAATTCATCCTTATGTTAAAATATATAAAAATAAGGGTAGATGGTGCAATCATTCTTTTTTTTTATTAACATTCTTAGTTTATTGATCCTTTCACGAAAAATCTGCACAACCACCACAGATAAAGCCACTGCAGCATCTTTACTCCTTCTGTTGTCCAATCTCCAGCTCACTTCTTGCCAGCACCAGCATTGGCTTTTGCAGTCCCCCTGACTTCCTTCATTCTGTTCTTGCATTCCTTTCACTGTTTTCTTGGTGTCTTTTTCTTCTCATACAGGCCATGTCTTGCAAGTCTGTGTTTGGGTTCATTTTTCTTTGCATAATCCAAGGAATCATAAATCATGTCAAAGCCGGTTGTCTTGCCACCACCAAAATGGGTTCTGAATCCAAACACAAATATGACATCTGGCGGGGTCTTGTACATTTTGGCTAGTTTTTCCCGAATTTCTGTCTTAGGTACTGTTGCCTTTCCAGGGTGAAGAACATCAATGACCATCTGTTTCCTCTGAAGTAGTCGGTTAGTCATGAACTTCCTGGTCCGGAGAGTTACTGTGTCGTTCATGATGGCGGCGAGGCTTCAAGCAGCCGGGGAGGAAAACCGATGGTGCAATCATTCTTAAAAAAAAAATCCTGAAAATGAGCTGAGTTTCAAAATAGACTTTGACCATTCTCAAATCTGCCTTACCAAACAATAAAATATCAGTAGAATTAGGCTTGTAAATTGTGAATTTCTCAAAAGATTTCATTTATTATTTTGTTTGCTTTTGTTTCCCTTGTAGAAATCAATGTTGCCATAATGATGCTTTAAGAATGGAACCAGAAGAAGAAAAAAAAGAATGGAACAAGAAGGACGGAGGAGAGTCCTATCTAAAGGCATGTTGGCTACTTCCAAGTTCCTGTCAGCCCAATTCCTATCATTCCAGACACAGACACTGGATCGAGTTGTCTGTCTGCATCCACCACTGGACTGGATGCTCTCTGACGGCAGAGAAAGTATCCTTCCTCTTTATCCTTCTTAGCTCACTGGAAATGTTCAGTAAGTCATCCTTAAAGGGATGAGTATGTAGATCCATTTGGAGTCCGTGGGTTAAACACGAGATATGGCCAAGTAAGGGAATCTCTAATATGACTGCATTTTAAGTTGCGTGACTAAAAGTTGATGACAAAAAAAATCAAAGTCCACTCTGCTTTTCGTCAATTACAGTATGAAGGGCCCCATAACAGCATTTCTTTTCGGCTGGGAAGAGGGAGTAAAGGGCAGCAACATGAATAACATGGGCAGTGTGTACTCAAACCTCTGACTCCTTGGTCAGAGGCTATGTGAATTAAGCTCGTCAAAGGACACTGAAGGGAGTGGGGGCCACAGGCGGTCACTTAACTGTCCATCTGCTGGTGGTGAATATGAATAATCCAGCTTTGCTTTGGAGAATGTCAGTAGAGGGTATTTATGCTTTTGTATTTCCTTTTCAACCCCTAACTTTCACAATCTGAGTTTAAAATGATAAACAAAACAAAACACCTCACTGGATATAATCTAAAGGTATATTGATAGGAGGACGGTTCAAACAAGTTTGGTCCATCAACACGGTGCAACACTACACAGCCATTCAACATGCATGCACATGCCTAGCTAGAGATACCTGTGTATGAATAAAGAATGTTCTGGAAACTGATAAAAGTGGCGGCTTCTGGGGAATGGCAGGTCAAGGGGAGGAGAGAGGGAAGGGCAAAGTTTACTTTTTCCTTTGTATCCTTTTATACAGTTTAACTTATTCCACATGAACAATGATTGGTTTTACAAACAAAAAAGGAAAAAAATTATAGGACATCTGTGGAATCTCTTCTTTTTCCCATTGCTTTAAAATTAATTAGCAACATTATCAGACCTAAGTTCCCGGGAATTCCCGCATAAATGGCAGTGCACTCTCCGGCTCCTCAGGCAAAGCGTCCTGCAACTCACCATCTTCCAGGCATAGCTCACATTATAGGCCTCCTTTCCGGTGGCTCTCAGCTTGTTTATATGCCAAGACAGCGATGAATTCACAGGGACTGCGATGATCTGGCTGCCCAGAGGGAGGCTGCGTTGGCAACAGAATGAAATACTTCAGGCAAAAGATAAAATTAAGCACTTAATTAAAGGCAGGGAAGAAGCTGTGAGTCAATGACCACCTCCTGATTTTGAAAAGCAATGAAGCTCATCACTTTTGAAAGAGGTAATGTGAAATTTTCAATTTCGTAAAAGCATGATGTCAGCTCAGCACTAAAATATTCCTTGCTCTCTACCCATGCTCCCCCCAAATTCTAATTCTTTCCAGAGACAAACTTGTCTCGAATCACTGTCATTAATTTACAACCAATGAGCACAAAGACCCATTCTCTATAGGTTACCATCTGCCAAAATAATGTATCATGGTTAGAAAAAATCCAATCTGTTTTTTATTTCAAAAGAAAACGTTGTATATGATTGTGCTGTCAACTTGGAATGGACACTATTCTGCCAAGCTATTTTTTTGGCATGCTGGAAAGCTGGTCCTCAAGTTAACCTTTTATTTTGCCAACATTTTTCAAATTAGTACAACTGGAGTTTTTCTTAAATGGGGTAACATATATCCGCGATTTTACAATTAATGGAAACGTGAACATAGAATCTGATTTACAAAACATTTTCCCTAAGTAATAGTTTTAAGAGAACTTACCTGTTGTTATACAAAGTAAATAAAATTTTAGCTACTATTCTTACGAAAAATTTACTGAGTATACTTTTAATAACATTAATTTATATACTTGTTTTATACCCTAAACACTCATATTTGACCTCAAGAGGCCCATTTTTTCAGAAAAAAAAAAAAACAAAAAAAACAAAAAACAATCCAAATATTACAACTTCCACCTTTTCCTTACCTTAGGATATTTTGCCGAACCAACTCAAATTTGGGGATATTTTCATAATGAATGATGTCAGTATGAAGTGGGGGTTCTGATAGTAAATATGGCCTGGTAAGAGATGGGTGCATAAGTGTATACCCTGAAATAAGGAAACAAAAATACATGCTATGGGAAACATGCTGTAGGAAGTACGGATTCTAATATAAGTGCCTATCATACATTTGAAATGTGGGATACTCTGGGATGACTGCCCAATACGCAACATCTCAGTACGTACGTAGCTCACCAGTCCAAGAAAAACTGAATTTGTTTTATGCGTATAGAAAGTATAGAAAGATGCCTTAAATTATGGAACAACTGTCTAATCAAGAATATCTTGGAGGTCCTGGTCATTGGGGCTTTTTCTATAAAAATGTTCTAATCTTATTACATAAACCTTAATGCCAGTGAATTTGAAGATAATACTATAGAAAAATAAAATCCAAAGGATCACTTTCTATATGTCATTCAATCCTCAAGTCTAATTTCTTGATGTTTAAGTAACTGTTACCTACTCCTTAGCACAACATAGAAACAAATGAGGTTGTGTTTGTTTGTTTGTTTTTTTAAGAGAGAGAGAATTGTAAGCATGCTCCATGCCAGCATGGAGCTCAGTCTCATGACCCTGAGATCATGACTTGAGCCAAAATCAAGAATCAGATGCTTAACCGACTGAGCCACCCAGGTGCCCCTAGAAACAAATGCATCATTTTTAGATTCATTTATGGTTTCCACTACAAATGAGCAGTTCTAGTCTCACTGTTTTTCTATAAATAATGTAATTTTCTTACTTTGTTAGTATCAGAATATCTACAGATTATTTTCTTCAGGTTACAAAAAAGTCATTCTTTCCCATGATTAATTTTTAGCAGATTACCTTTGTCATCAATGAGAAAAGTATAGGAAGCCAAAGAATCTTGGTAATACGTCACGTCTTCAAGGATGTAAGCCAAGTTCACATCCACACCTACAATTCCCAGAAGTAGGTTTCCAAAATAACAGGGTTTACTTACAGTCATTATCAAACCTATGGGTTAAAAACAAAACAATCCAAAGGATAGCAGAGAAGGCACTGAACAAAGACAGGAGCTATGCTGTAGTGAATCACGGAGGCTATGCTCTGCCATCTAAATTCTGCTTGGAAGAGGTAACCTGTGTGATCTAGGAGCCAACCACTGCCTCTGCAGACAGCGTAAGTGAACAAGACTGTGGGGCATGGAGAGTCTTTTGTGGGGTTCAGATGCCACAGTTAATTTTGGAGGCAATTTATACATTTTCCACCATTTCTTCACCTAAACGGCAGGACAGTCCCAATCAGAGCAAAACACAGCAGCATTTACTACCTGATTCTGTTTTCTCAACTGGGGAAGATTCAACGGAATGTGAAAGACCACTGGACAAGGACTCTGAGAATCTGGGTTCTAGCCTAGCTGTGCCCCTTTATGTATTGTACATAAGACATGGATATAACTTCTCCGAGCCACGGTTTCCACGTCTGTTTAAAGAACACAGTGGTAACTGCTTTACTGATTTTTAGGGGTAAACAAAAAGAGATTATGTCATTAATATAGCCTATCAAAAGACAAAAAGATGAAGCGAAAAAACCTGGAGAGGTACAGAATCTAGTAAGATCTGACCAATTACAACTCCAAGCAGCTCAGGGAGACACGAAGTTTCCAAAGGAATCTATTTCTAGTCACTGGGTTCTGAGGTCCTCGACTTTTACCTAAAGGGCTAGCCAGTAGATACTTTAGGCTTTTGGACCAGTTTCTCTTGCATATACTTAAAAAAAAAAAAAAAAGCTTTAAAAATATAAACGGCATTCTCAGCTCACAGGCCATACAAAAACAATGGGATAATCAGGAGAGGGAAGAGCAAAGGCAAAGAAAATGTACAAGAGGAGAGAGGGTGAGTAGTGGGGTGAGTGCGTGGACAGTCAGGACAGCGGAGCTCTCCTCCTGGCTCTCCTACTGAGTTAAATGGCACCACCTCTCTGAACTGGGTCTCTTCATGTGTCAGAGACAGAACGACCTCTAGCACCCGGAGCAGTGCCACAATCCTATGGTTCTCAATAAAACTCGAAACAAGAAGATGGATGGTTTCTCTCCATCTTACACTAGTATTTTCCTGTGCTTAATGGCAGGTTCACACCTTGGCAGCGTATCAGAAAGCCATTCTTCTATCAACACCCAAGAAAGGGATTTGGATACTTGAAGCCTCCTGCAAAAAATGGACTTCCACACAGAGAAACCCATGGTGGTCCACTCAAAGTATTATTGAACTTGCTGTGGTCGCAAAGGCCAATGAAATGTATCACTTGGTAGGAGGAAGTGCATACAACACTGAAAAACTTTGTGAGAAGTTACGCCCAGTTTTAAGGTAAGTTCCGGGGGATGTAATATACAGCCTGGTGACTACAGTTAACAATACTGTATCGTGTCACGATATATACATATATCAAATCATTATGTCGTACACCTAAAAGGAATGCATTGTTTTATGTCAATTATAAATCAGTAAACCAGGAAACAAGAAAAGTTGTGTGCTGTCTGTTATAATTTCAAAGGCATTCTTTAGGCAGTCAACAGAAGGTTTTAAAAATGTATTTTAAGGAGGTTTTTGCCCAGGTATCCCTGGACAAATGGGTTATAAATGATGGGAGTAGCGCTTGAGGGCTAGGACAGAGACAGAGGTCATAACCTGCATGCCATGCTCCCCTGGGCTTGTGTCTAAGATTAAAGCCGTTTTCATAGAGCAGTGAAGTACAACAGAAATACTCTGAGACCATATGCTCAGTTCAGATTTCTTTGGCTATGTTGCGAACAAGCCTGAAAACAGAAACACAATCTTACTTTCCAATTATCACCTCGGGAGAGAAGACTCTTCATTCCATTGTGGCAAATAAAGTACGCTAAGCTCTTGTTACCCTTAATGAAATCCCTAAATGCCCTCTCTACTTTAACCTAAAGTACACAGATTTACTTGTTAAAAGAAGTACGTCCAGTCACCAATATTTTAATCTGTGGGGGTTTTGAATGACAGCCGTGTGAAAACATGGGATTCTCTAGGCTCAGCATCCCCGTGCTGTGGAGTTAGAGGAGATGCCACCCACTCGTTCTGGGGACTGAAAATACAAACGTGAAAGGCCTGCTCTAGCAGAGGACTGGGACAGACCGGAAAAGCAGTCGCTGAAGTACACCGCAGAGGATTCAGAGAACAGGCCCTGAGGACTACACTTTGGAAAGCATCAGCCAACAAGGAACCGAAGATTTGTCCACAGTTTGACTGAGAGCCTTTGGGTAACTCTTGGGGTGGTAGAGGTGAATTTTATAAAAGGTCCGACTCTACCTGATGTCACTAAGGGTAACAGGATTTGACCGCATAAACCCCCGAGCTTGTATAGGACTCAGTTTCCACATCTGCCTTTGTTCCTTCGACACAGTATTAACATGATTCATTGATCTGTCTTTCTCTTATCAGACGTACATGCTTGTTGAGGGTGGGATGTGTGCCTTACCCATCATTGCCTGACACAAGGCTTGGCTGGCACTCAATACCGTGGGCTAGATGCATAAAAGGTCACTTGCATTTGCAGCTCCACATTTCCCTATGAAAGGAAATAACCTTATCTAAAAGTGGGAGTTTCTATACTCTCCACATGTGTGGGCTCTGCCAGAATTAGGAGGGATAAAAAACATTGACGTGTAGCAGAGGTTACCATATTTCTTCCTTATGGAAAAAACCCGTTTACCTACTTTCTAGAAAACATATTCTCTAGGCCTGTTACTTTTCATACATGAGTTTTGTTGGGATACCTGTATCTGTGAGAGTTCCTAGTTACTGGAACATAAAAATAGGATCTCATGTGGTGAGGGTATCTGTCTGGCTAGTAATCAGCTTCCTCGTCCCTCCTCTCTGTCAGAGAAGAAAGGGAAGCATGCTGGAGAAAGGATAAACAAGAATATGAGAAGGGAATGAAAAAGGTTGTCCTTTTACTGATCATATACGTTGGCCAGCCATTACTCTAGGTGCTTCCCATATATTAGCGCATGTTGTCTTCACAACTGCCCTGACAGAAATATTCTTCCCGTTTCATAGACCAGGAAAGTTAATCATGTGAAGGTTAAACACTTTACCCAACATCATATTATGAGTAACTTGTGACATCAGGATGATGAAGATGAGGAGAGTCGTAACAAAAAGTAAAGGTAATAAATCAACAAGAACAGTGATGACTGTTGAGAGGTATGCCAGGCACCAATAAGTCTAATCCTAATAACCTAAAAGATATATTATATGAAAGACATCATTACATTTTAAACAGGTGACCAAATGGGAATGAATAAATGAGATTAAATAAATGATCAAAGACCACAATTTAAGAGGTAGAGTGGGGCTTGAAAACCTCTTATTGCCAAACCTGTATTGTCTGACCACCCCATGTTGCTTTTCCTTTCAGGCTGAATCCTAATCATTTCTGAGATCTACCACCTGCCCTGCAAAGTCACTCTTTTGTTCCAACTCAACAACTTGTGGATATTAGGGAATCCTCAGTAAGCCCCTCCAATAAACAGACCCATCATGTTGACTGAGGCTAGGGCAATGCGATAAAAATCAGGCTGGGGATTTCTGCTCTAAGGTACAGTGCTACTGGACTGATGGCAGAGGGCTGCACCACCCTCTGACCACAGACAGGGATGACTGCTCCCCTTGCCTGTCCGGACCCTCTAATGCTCACGGATAAGTGTTGGACAACATTTAAAAGTTACTGTCTTGGTGGACTCGTGTCCATTTCTTTTCCCCTTTCTTTAGTAGGAAGTTTTCCCCAGACTCACCATCTCCCATCTCATCAGAGAAGGGAAGGCTAAACACCGCTTCATCAATCATCCGGTTGGGAAGGTTGGTATAGAACCTGCCGACCGTGGTCTCCAGGTTACTCAGCTGGTTCAGCACCATCATGCTCCCCTTAATCACAGGCAAGGCTGTCCGGTCCAGCACGCCATACTTCCCTGAGTTCTGTTCAGCCAGATCTCTCAGAAAAGCCAGCTCTTTTAAACCAGTCACCCCATCTGAAATGGAAAGCCAAAGGTAGACAGTGTAAACCAAAACGGTGTATATCCCTGCAATAACCTTGCCATTTAGATTTAATAAGGGCACAGATAAAATCCTGCAATGCCAAAGGGGTCTTACAGAGTCAACCTGGACCCAGGACACAGTTACCATTTCTTGCTCAGGAACACAGCATGAGGCATAGTCTTTCCTCAAACAGGCAAGAGGGCAAAGGGATTCTTCAAAAGGCAATGATGAAAACCACATGAGTAAAAATAAAGGAGCCCCATTTGGCAACGATATGTTCTCCCCTAAGAGTTTAATTTTTCTGCATTTAAAATTTGAAAGCAAAAGTCGTGATTAACAAGTCTGCATTTAAATTAGATGAAGTTGTAAGAGTTTTAAAGGATAGAGGTTTATCATTTCATTTCTTACCTCTTTCCCTTATTAAACACTTGCCAAAGTCTCATGGAACTAAATGGAAGAATTATGTATTGCATTTAGTGATGCCCCCAAACCCCTTGTCTTTAAGCTCATTTTAATTACAAATGCTTTCATGCTTGATACTGTTAGGACAGTACTGGATTTGATTTATTTAATGTGTATTTTCTATGTTTAAGGGGTTTTAAAAACTTTGTAAAAGATTTAGGCATACTGGGATGTATTGTTCTACAACATCTGTAATCTATAGCATAAAAATAAATTTAATAAACCTTTTTAAAAATTTTGGTTTGCTATTGTTGGAACACAGTCAAAAGGATTAGTAACTGATCCCATATGGGTGCCATTGTAAACAAATTCAAATGATTTCAGTCACTACTGAGATTCTACCAATGAGTTTTAAATAGGCTTTGCCTCATGTTCTTTAACTATTTAGTCTTTAAAAAAACATAACAAAACAAAACTGAAGAGTTCATGGTTCACCTACCTTATGTGACTTTATCATTTCTAACTAAGGAGTGTGTATACTTCTAGCCTGAAGTCCATTTCTAAAGTCATGCAAGGATCTAATGCATATAATTTCCTTCTTAACATACTGTATTTAGATAACTTGGATTTTGCTGGAGCAATGATGCTAAGAAGTCAGAACCAGGTTATTGTTCCCTTTCTTTGATATGAGTGGAGATAGGGGAGATGAGTGGTACATTCCAGAGTAAAAAAAAAAAAAAAAAAAATCACAAAAGCCATGGTTGATCCCTGGCCTTATACCCTTGAGAAGCTCCCAGAAGTGAATGATAAAAGGAGACAACTCAAGACAATAAACACATTTCCTTTCTTTGTCATGTCCTGTTTGACTCTCTCAAATGTAAAAGAAAAGTAACAAATGGGAACATCTCTTAGGCAAAGAATAGCATGGGATAGAAGGTTATCAAAGATTGTCTACTTTATGTACTACATCATGATATGAGTGGCAAAGGTGGCAGTGGGCTGGCAAGGCGGGTAAGTATGGTAGATGGTTCTATCACCAATATGGTCATCCTGGAGACTACATTTCCGGTGTTTCTAGGTTAAAGGTGGCCAAAACTGAAGTGCTAGAGATTTGAGAGGTGAAACAGACACAGAGGGACCAGCATGTTCCAGTTTGTCTTACCCTGCCCCAATCTGCATTCAGTTCCCTTTCTCAGCTGCTGGCTGGCTTGCTCAACAAGGGTAACCCTAGGCTCATTCCAGATGTTTCAGTGACAGTCTACAGGGGTACAGCAGTCATGAAGAGCCAATAACCTCCTGTAGACTTCTACGCAGACCTCCTAAGTGGTCTTCAACATTCCTAGCTTTCAGACATCTCCACAAGCTCCAACCCATACCAGAGCTGGTTACTAAATACTGGCTTGTCAACTCCTCTTTCTGGATCTTTACTTTCTCAATTTTCTCAGTTGTGTACACTCTAATTCTGGTAATAAGTTCATTACATCCAAATCCTCATAGTGGCCCTGCTTCCCTACCTGAAGCCTGACTGACAGAGTAAGGGAATGTGTTAACCTTAATGAACAATGCTCACAGACAGCATTTGGAGAGGGAAACCCGGCAGTGAGGATGTTGTGTCTAGCCAGATTAAAGGGAGAAGAAAGAAGAGATAAGGGTGGCCAGAGGGAAGTAACCAGAGGTTTTAAAAGACTGGCATTATCAGGGGCACAGCAGGTGCACAAGATTCTCTAGGGTGAAGATTTAGGACCAGTGAAGAGATGGGTGATAATGAGGAAGCTTCTTTACTCAGTATCTGCCTGGGCAGACCTTCAAATCTAATGGAAAATAAGTGATCACTATCTTTTCTGTTTTCTTATACCTGGACTACTGCACTGAATTCATCTGCCTTATCTATCTTTCTCAAGGAGTCACAAGCTTCTTGAGGACAGGAACTTTGTAATAATACAGCTCCAAAACCTCAGTGCACTATGTTACACACTGTAGATTCAACAAACTTTATTTTCTTCCCTTCCTCTGTCTTCCTGCCTGAGTCAAAGAAGCCAAACCATAGGGAAAAGGAGTAAATGGCACCCAGAGATAAGACTGAAAGGTACGTGCCCCAGGCAAAAAATAGGCCATCCTTGCCTACCTCAGCTGTGCTCAGCCCTGTGCTCAATGCTCAGAACACAAAGAGAACTAAGACACAGTTATGTATGAGAAGCTCACGCTCATGTAAAGTGGAGGGAGAAGGAGAACAGTATGTGAGCACATCATTCATGGATGTAAAGTGGAGGGAGAAGGAGAACAGTATGTGAACACATCATTCATGGATGACACACTTAACAGAAGTAAGCACAACAAGCTGGGGGACAAGGAATACTGAAATACTGAACAGAATACTGAAATACTGAACACCGGCCCTGAACGAGAATGAGAGAGAAGCACCTCTGCCTTTGAGGTGTACCGAGACAGGCAATCACACAAACTTTAATTCAGTCCTTCAATCGGCTTTCAGGACCTGTTCTTGATCAGGTACTATGTTAGGAACATTTAACACATTCTATCTTGTTTATTTATTATCACAGCAACTCTAGGTACATTTTACGATTTTCATTTTACAGATATAACTGAAGCCTAAAGAGATTAAGTAACTTGCCATAAGCACAGAGCTAATAGATGGAGACTGGAACTCAGAACCTCTAGAACTCCAATCTGAGTTCTTCCATGGAGAGTCCACAAAATACCTAGAAAAGAATCATGCTGACCCAAACACAGATTCCTGAACTCCTCCTAAGCAGATCTGAATAAAAATCCAATTGTACTATCTGGGAGTCTGCATTTAAAAAAATAATCTCCAAGTAATCCTTAGCACGTTAAAATGAGAACCACTGTCCCTATAGCCACATGGTTCTGCATGGAAATCGAAGTGGATGGAACAAATAAAAGACCATAGGTGGGAAGAGCTCCTGCATCAAGACGTGGCCTCTCAAAAACAAGAGAATACAGTCACCCAGAACACTGAGGGTAAGGGGCCTGAAGACTCTCTGGGGGAAGAACAATATGCATTAACAGGTAAAGAGACAGGACATAGCAGAAAAGCTAGAAAACTGGGCCATAGTCAGACTGGAGGACATGCCGGAGAGCAGAAGGAAAAAAAAACCAAGTACTTCCTCAGATTTGCCAATTTACTAAACCCTTTCACATACTGATTTAATAGCAACAAAATCAACCTTCAGGAGTACCTAGAAAGTGACACACACTATCCTGGGAGTTTACTGTACACCAGGGTTACTCTTCGCAACAGCCCTGTCACATAGATAATTCTTATCTCCATTACACAGTTAAGGAGGCTGAGGTGGAGAAAGCAGCAGAAGAGGCTTTAGGTGGTGATTCTGCAGAGAAATGTGATATTCACTGGCTCGGGTATACAGAAGAATCTAGGTCAGTATTTTGGCTTCCTGAAGCTTAAATCAATGAACTCAGTTAATAACCTCCATGCAGTATCAAAATCCAAGAATATGAAGGAGAACTGAAAAAAAAAAAAAAAAAAAAAAAAAAACCGGAGCAGTATAGAATCCTCTCCAAGACCACATCACCGGAGAAGGTTTAGAAATGAGCAGTTGGCTGGAGAGAGAGAGATGAAGAGAGAGTGACATCCTAACACATGCCCTGAATACGAACGTTAGGGAGAGAAAGGCTTGGGCAGGAAGCTGCTTGGTGGCCTCTCTTCTTACACCCTTCTTCAAAGTGCACGCTGTCAGGGTTCTTTTTTTATTTTTTCTGAAAGCAGCATGCACTTAGAGAGAACTTTCATCTGAAAGAAAAATCTCGAAACACTACCTACCATTCATGAGGGCATAGGTGAGAATCATTACGGAGTTGTTTAGAAAGCTATTTTCTTCATTGATGACACGGAGAGTCGCCTTTTTATCTTCTTCTGAGGAGTCCTTTGATGTAATGCCAGCTGACAAGTAAATTATGACCATGTCTGTATCTAAACAAAAACATACAAATTGAACGTTACGTTGGATTCCGGCTAAAGGCAGCAGTTCCGTTTCCTTTTCATTTCCTTTGGACTCTCCCGCCTTGAGGACCTGCCTGGCCCAGCGTTCGGACTCCTTCCCATTTGATGCCGGGGCTTTCATCTCTCTGCCTCTGCGTCCCTTCCATCCTGCCCTTTGTGGGCAACGAGGCCTCATTTATCCAGTGTCAGCTGAAGAGATGTTCCTAATAAATTTACCAGATAAAAGAAGGTGATTTCCTTTAGGCACTCATGGTGTGGTAATTTAGCCATCCCAGACAGAGCGCTCTCTTGCCTTCTGAAACAGAGGATTCGGGACCTGATTGATCCTTTCCTCACTGAGAGGCTTCACCAGGAGCCAACATTTTTGGGGCTGACTAGGCTTTAAAATGATGGTTCTACCACGGGCTCTTCAAACATGAAAGGTTATTGGTCCCTATACTAAGTAGCTCCAGAAACATTTTTATTTTTAAAATTCATCAGTGTAGGAATGCCTGGGTGGCTCAGTGGGTAAAGCGTCTGCCTTCAGCTCAGATCATGATCCCAAGGTCCTGGGATCAAGTCCCGCATCAGGCCCCCTTGCTCAGCGGGGAGTTTACTTCTCCCTCTGCTTGCCGCTCCTCCTGCCTGTGCTCGCTCTCTCGGACAAATAAATAAAATCTTTAAAAAAAAAAAAAAATTCATCAGTGCAGAAGAACAGTAAAAACACAGACATGGGAGCCAGGGTGCCTGTGTTGAAATCCCAGCTCTGCTACTTTCAAGCTGTGTCTGGGTAATTTTAGGCAGATTTCTTAACCTCTCTACACCTATATTTTGTTGTCTACAAAATGGAGATAATGACAGTACTTACCTTCATAGGGTTGCTGTGAGGACTAACTGGTTAATTTAAGTGAAGAGAGACTCCAAGGATAATGGCAAATAGTAAAAGAGAAAGAAGCCTCAACACACACACACACACACACACACACACACACACACACACACACTCCCACCCACCCCAATATTGGTCTGAAGCAGCACCTATGACTCAAGATTAAACTACTCCCCCAACCAGGGCTCATAAGCAGAGAGACTGAGAAGGTCATTTCAGCTCAGTGTGAAGAACTTCCTTCAAGTGGATTTACTAACAAATATAAGTAGTGAATTTCCTACCGCCGGAGATACATACGCAGAGGCTGAATGACTACTGTAATGGAGGAAGGGAAGTAAGCGAGCTGGACTTCCACACTGTCTGAGATTCTTTGGTTAACTATATATTTTTATTAAGATATACTACACAGAAGTTTACCTTTCTATTGAGAAATAAATATTCATATGGTATATGCTTCTTTCTTCAGGTCCTTACTGCTGTCATTTAGTTGAGGTTGCTTTATACTTACCGTGGTAGGCAACCTCCCTGTAAGTCCCCCAGTGATCCTACCTTCTGATATCCACATCCTTGTGTAGCTGTCTCCCTCTGAGTGTGGGCTGGATTTCGTGACTTCCTTCTCGAGAACAGAATGCAGGAGAAGGAATGGGGTGTTCCGAAATAGGTTAGGTGACACAAAGCCAGTGGCTTTCACTGTGCATGCTCTCTCACTCTGAAGGAAGCCAGAGGTATGCTGTGAGCCACCCTCGTTAGAGGCCAGGCACTGAGGCCCTCAGAACTGAGTTCCCCCAGCAACCACGTGAGTGAACTTGGAAGCTGGTCCTTCCCAAATTGAAGTCTGAGAGAATATCAACTCTGGCTAACAGTCTGACTGCAACCTCATGAGACATCTTTAGCCAGAGATACGAAACTATGTTGTACCCAGATTCTGGACCTACAAATACTGAGAAAGTAAATGTTTAAAGTCACTGAGTGTTGGGAAATTTGTTATCCAGCAATAGGTAATGAACACAGTTAGTTACCCTTTTAAAAAATATCCTAACAGTGATAAGGATACAATGATTGAGTTCTCTTCAGTTTGTAAATTTCCATTTTAGACTTTGCAGCATCCTTTGTTATACAAAATTGAATGGTTAGTTTATGTTGTATCAATGTTGTAGACAACTGAACTGAGATTAATAAAACTGAATCAAAGAAATAAATACAACCTAAGTTGTTGTCTCTTATTCATTACCATAATTTAACATACAAATAAGTTTTAAATCCATTAGATGCTTGAATAATTCTCTAATACTAGCTGTAAATTTAATTGCGCTATTTATTCATCAGAAATTAAGAAGTAAATGCTGATGCAAAAACATCCATAAGCTTAGAATAACCACCTTAAACTGGATTTCAATATTTTTCCAATGATGTAAATACTGTCTTATAAATTATTGTTAGGACCCCAAACATCTCATTTAGGGTTCAGACTGGGAAAAAAAAAAAAGCAACAACACTTGACTCCCCAGTTGGGGGGAATACAGATATACCATGAGGCTGATATGAAGTATGAGACAAACCATCACCCCATGGCAAAGGTACCGTGTGTGATAAATGCCTGGACAGCCGTAAGACTGACCTGAAAGAGAACCTTTGAGTTTTCTTACTTAGCTTCGTGACTCTAGATAAAATATGCTGTCACGGAGAGCTGGTGGTGAGGCCCCGGCCCATTTCTGGAAAGCCAGAGGGCCGGCAGTCAGCAGCCTTCTGCTGTAGCCACGCACCTTTTCTTCCCGTCCCAACAAGAAGGGAAGCACCCTGTCAGCATTCTCATGGCCTCTGCCCAGCCTGACTCTATCCTTGCCCTGTCCTTTTTAGACAGCAGATCTGCCAAATTTGGTGTGATTTATTATTTTTTTTCCCTTATTAGGATGTTCCCTCTCTAGCAGTCAGAAGAACTACACCTTGTGATCAGTAATGTTATAGATGAGTAATAATTACAGGGACTTGGGGCAGAGCGAAGACACAGCATGTAACAGGAAGAGAATGCAATAGCTTCCATTTGCCAAGTCCCTGTCTAAGCTGCTAGCATGTCTTGGGGTCAATATCAAAGGGGAAAAAGCAACTGAAATTTGGGGCTCTGCCCCTGCCATCAGATCCTCACTCCTACCTAACCATCTTATTCCTTCTGTTCTAAAATGACCTACCAACTAATCACCCCCAGAACAGGCAACCCAAATATGTTGATGGTATCAGTTACAGATCTACCATGGGACTGAAAAAGAGCCAGAGCTGGGTAAAATTTTTAGATATTCTCATTAATGCAAAGCAAATTTGTACAAAGGCACCATGATTTATGACATGTAGCTTCTGTTCATATGGCTACTAACCTGGGGCAGATATTTCACTTTCATGCACAGGCTAATCCTTACAACAATCCTACAGGGTAGGTCTTACTCATTAGAATAACTGCACCACATGGCTTTAAAACAGCACCAGGGGGGCGCCTGGGTGGCTCAGTCTGTTGGGTGTCTGCCTTCAGTTCAGGTCATGGTCCTGGGGTCCTGGGATTGAGTTCCACGTCGGGCTCCCTGCCCAGTGGGGAGTCTGCTTCTCCCTCTGCCCTGCACCCCGCTCGTGCTCTCTCTCTCAAAAATAAATAAAATCTTAAAAAAAAAAAAAAAGTAAAACAGCACCAGGTACACGGCAGATGCTAAATAATTATCTAGGAAGTGAACAGAAGTAAGGATGCAGGGTGCAAGCTCCTAAGACAAGTACGTAGACCCCTCACTATACTGCAGCCAAGGCTGGTGTGGTCCTCAGCCGTCTCGGCTTGAGGTCAACCAAGATGTTTGAGGTATCTTTGAGCTAGAAATCTTATAGGAAACTGAATACCATAACAACCACAGCTAATATTTATTTGATATTTATGATGGAATCCTGGATCTTATTATCACCCCCAGTTTGCAGAAGAGGAAATCAGGCCTGGAGAGATCAAATAATTTACACAAGTTCGCAAGTTTAGAAAAATTTCAAAGTAGGAATTTGAACCCATGTTGGTTAAAGTCCAAAACCCACATACTTAACCACTATGCTAAATTGCCTGACAGCACCTCAAACCTCTCCTTAATAAGCTAGACAACGCTAATTTCTGATGTGTTTCCTTATGCAATCTAATTTGTGTTTTTCTCTGCACTGCCAGTAGAAGCAGAGATATAATTTAGGAACATCTTACTTGGCTTAAAAAGGACTCCTCTGAGCATTTAAAAAACAGTGCCCTCAAAAGTTGTCCAAGTCTGTGATGGTCACTCTTCTTGCCACGTATTTGTTTGGCAACATTAAGAAAAACCAAAAAACAGCCCGAGGAGAAATCCCTCCCATCAAAGCAGCCTTCTGTTAATGTGTAGTGCAGGAAAGTCTGTAAGAAGAGGTTTAATGAGGTCTCAGTTTTAAAGCTGGAACAAACGTCAACATTTGAAAACCAAGGGGGTGCACATAAAAATCCAGATTTCTGGCTTCTCTTAAAATAGAAGATCTGGCAACGCTGGGGCAGGCCCTCGTACATGGCAATCACAGGCTGCACAGGACAGCGGGCTTCTCCATGGAATATGCACCCCCTAGTTGACCATGCTCCCCCAAACGATCCTCACTGACTTACTTTGGGTTCCCTTGACTCACAATCACTGGCAGGTCACAGCCAGTCTAAAATTTTTCTTCATTATTTGAATAGTATAATAATCAAAATTGGACTTAAACTCTAAGGGTAGTTTGATGACTGAGGAATCAAGTAGAAAAATCACTCCTGGTGAGGAATGCTGACAGGTAAATGGCCCAGACCAACTAGCCAATCTATCTTGATCCTCAGGAGGTCAACCTTGTCCACCGGCCTTCTTGAATCGTGGACAACTTGACACTCAGCCATCCCGTAATACTGGTCTGTGGGTAGCTGATACTTGCCAACACTAGTTGGCAAAATTCTAAGATGATCCCAATGACCCACGCCCTTGCAGAAGATTTTCCTCTTGAGGGGGCCTGTAACTTGCTTCTAACCAAAGGTGATGGATATCACTCCTGTCGATCGTCCTACATGGACAGCAAACATGGAGGGATTTTGCAGATATAATTGAGATTCCAAATAAGTTAATCACAGGGGAGAGAAATCCGATTAATTCAAAAGGGAATGGGTCTGATGAGAACAAATGAGCCCTTCAAAAGAGGGTCCAAGCCTTTCCTGAAGTCAGGGGCTCAAAGAAGAGATGCTCTCCCGCTGGTTTTGAAGAAGCAAGTGCATGTGAGTTTTACAGTTGCAAGGAAATGAATTCTGCCAACAACTGAACTTGGAAGAAGACTCCAAACCTCAGAGCAGACCACAGATGTGGGGGACGTCCAGACTGCAGCCCTCGTGCAACCCTAAATCCTTACCTGGAACCCAGGCAAGCTATGCCTGCACTCCTGACCCATGAAATGGTCTGCGTGGTAACAAATGTACATTGTTTTAAGCTGCTATTAAATTTGTGGTAACTTGTTATGTTCAAACACCAACAAATATGCCATCTGCCATCATTAGTTGTAATAATTCCAGTAGCTCGATCTTTCAAGGGCTCACCATGTGCCAGTCACTATGCTTTGCGTTCATCAATGTTGTCTTACTTTTAATGCAGACACACTGAAGAACCTGCAAATATATTCTTTAAGTTTCCCTCGATAGGATAGATTCATTAAAAAAAAAATCCTACAAATAGATACTCGAATATAAAAGGGAAAATGACATAGATTCCTTTCAGTAGTTTCAAAGCATATCTTATTTCAAGTATCTTTTCCTTCAGTTTAGCATGCATCCTAATTCCAGATTTTCTTTAATACATGAAAATTAAATTAGCGTGCCTTTGTACATTTGAAGGCTGTGCTCGTCTAAATGACAGCTGGTTACAAGAAGGAAGGATCAAGGCAAGAATCCTGCAGCCTGTTTCTTTGCACATGCGCACGGGCAGACATCCACTCTCAAGTCAATGAGAAGGCAAGGCTGACAATTAGCATTAAAAAGGATGCGGACATTCCCCTGGGAAATAAATGGGGCTATGTTTGTAATAAAGGGGCAGGAAGAAGAGGCTGGGGGGGGGGTGGTGAAGGAATCGCGCCGGCCGAGTACCTTTGATTGGAAAAGATGAGAAAATCTAGTAAGATCCTACTACTAGATGACCGTGATGACAACACATGAAAATTTTATCCCAGGTCAATTTAAAAAATCCCTCTAGACATAGTTGTGTGATCAATTTACAATGTATGCCTACTGCTATCCTTTATCTATTGGTTTATAAGTCCTCTGAGAGAGTGCAACTTACTCGCTTGGAACTTTGTGTTATTGTTTGTGCTTCGAATCAGCTGAAACGCCTTTTGAAATCCCACCGCATGCTGGGTAGGACTGTCCACAGACTTGACGCTGCTAACGAAGGTGGACATTTTCCTCTTTGTCTCACTCGTGGCTGGAGACAGGAACGTCTTATAGCACTGGTCGAGCGAGCACGTCCTGACCGTGTCTGCCACAGTCAGCACAGAGATCTGGAGGAAAGAAAAAGAAACCTTGTTATCTTAACATGTGAAGGCTTTTTTATATTCTTGAAGAGCCCAAGGACTGAGAGGGCCTACAGAACAGTTTCTAAGAGTTTAAAAATAAATGCCTGGAGGCATAAATCTATCAAATTTGAAAAGGATGAGTTAAGGATTGGTAAGGGGGAGGGGCTCTAGAGTCTGTGTTTTGTTCCCAGATGAAGTCAGCAGTGTGGCGTTCATCTATAACATTAAGGATGACTATTTCACGCAGAGAAAGAGCTTAGCGAGTACTAACCATCTTGGGTTTCCAGCTGGAGGTGGGGGTGAGGGTAAAGGCACAGGGTGTGTGTTTTAAGCAACTAGATTAGTCAGTAAAACCTCAGGAGTTCGAAAAGTCAAAATGATGAAGCAGAAAATGTCCACAAGGCAATAGATTATCATTAGCTGTAAACACACCTGTCTCTGAGGTATCCTAGAGATTAGTAAACCTCGAGCAGCCTTCCCTTACCCCTCACCTCTCATAAATCTTGAGCTAAAGTCCAGCCATCCACCAGCCTCCATGCCCTCGTCCTTCTCCCCCTTAGCATAACTTCCAGTGTAAAAGTCACAGCTAATTGGAAGCCTTGACAGGAGCCACGAAGGAAGTACAAGACTCAGCTTGGTGGGGGTGGTTTTTAAAAGAGATTTGGAGCCAGAGTCGGCGGCTGCTTCCTCAAACGCTAGAATAAAAACGAAACCATTCTCTTTCCCCCAAAGTCGTTTTAAATATGGATTTAAAACTGTGTACCATAAAACACAAGGTACTTCACAAAAGACATTCAAGGAAGAGCCAATGCCACGGGGGTCACTGGGGGTACCGGTCACCTTGTCGTGCTCGTCGATGGCACTGAGGATGACCCGGGCAGCGTCCTTGGCGATCTGAAGCTGGGTGTCCGTGACAGAGGCCCCGTGGTCCAGGATCACTACTATGTGCTTGGACTGTGGCCGGACCGTGGAGACGTAGATAGGTCTAGAAGGGGTGGGGGGGGGAGAAGCTCTCTGGGGTCAGTCCTGCTTTAGGTCAAAGGAGCTCAACCCAATGCAGCTGTGAACACTACAGATGTGCAGGCATTTGGTGGCTATGTCTTTTTCCAGGGATGTCTTTCTCCAAGGAAAGAGCCACTGGTAAGGAGAAAGGATACTGGCGCAGTGAAAACACGACCTCGAGACAACAGCGTGTGTCTGTAGAGCAGGGATTGGTACCTCAGTCTTCCAAAGATTAAAGCAACCGGGAGGAGGTTAGAAGAAGCCAATCCTTTTGGGGGCGCCTGGCTGGCTCAGTTGGTGGAGCATGTGACTCCTGATCTTGGGGTTGTGGGTTCGAGCCCCACATTGAGTACAGTTAAAAAAAAAAAAAAAAAAAAAAAGGCAGCAAATCCTTTGGGAGGCTGGCCTTTTCGGCACACTTGAAAGTCAATGCTCGCGGCTGTGTGTGGTGATGCCACTCAAGGTTACCCAATATTCGGCTACAGAACATGGGACTGGTGGCCTCTCAGACCGCAGAGAGTGCACACGAGGGAGGGGAAGGTCTACTTGCTAGCACTGGGTCTGCAGACATACAGAGTGGGGCTTTGCTAAAACGGAGGCGGCCTGTAATCTGCGAGCATGCTGAGCAGCTCTGAATAGCAGGTTTGGTTTCTCTCCCCCCAGACAAAGGCTACTGCTTAAGAGGGCCCTTTCCTTTCTGTACTGAAGCAATTCACACAGGTCAGCCACCAAAAGGCCCCTTATCGGAGCATTTAAAACCATGCCATCAAATGTGTCCAAGCCTGTGATAGTCACTCTTCTTGCCAGGTTTTTGTTTGCCAACATTCAGAAAAGGGGCTGGAGGGAGGGTGGGGAAGGTCCAAAGGAGAAATGCCTCCCATGAAAAGCGGCCTTCTGCTCATGTGCCGAACAGGAAGGTTTGTGAGAAGGGGTTTAATGCGGTCTCTCTTCACAGTTTTAAAGCTGGAACAAATTAGGGGGAGCTTAAGAAAGCAAATCAGCCTCAAGAGAATTCCCTCCTTTACTGACACCCCTAAAACACTAGATTTTTTCTATGAAATGTTAGATGTCAGTTGACTCAAAAAAGTCTGGGCACGAATTAAGGAATAAAAGCAAAGGACAAAAAAACCCCACAAAAACAAAAAAGAAAGCCCAAAACAAAACAAAACACAAAAAACCTAAACTCTCGAAATCTGGCCAAGCTTACACTTTTGTTCTCAAGCCAAAAGTCCTACATTAACACTGAAGTACTACTGTATTTTCACCAGTCAATACCATTAAGCCAGTAGGGAAATGTAATAAAAAGAATTCAGGAGAAATGGCTACAGAAATGAAAGACAGAATGGAAAAGAATGAAATCTGTATATCCCAACCCTGACAACCATGTCAAATATTGAACTTTTTAGGTCCTCCAGGCTAGGTGAATTAAAAAAAAAAAAAAAAAAAGCATATCTCCTTTCCAACTCAACCCACATCAATGGAAAGCAGAGTATGTGTTTCACATTGCCACAGTAAATTGTTAAGGAACTGTTTTAGAGTGATGCAAAAAATAGTAACATGAAATATACAGTCTGGGAGTGGGTCCCCACAGCATGATTGGTATCCACAGGTTCCTTTCTCATGTGCTCTGAAAACCCATTCCACACTTCGAAGGATGTGGAGAACTTGCAAAGGCCTCCGAGGAAAGCAGTTAGGGCAAGTACAGAGATGGGAACATCAATCTAGGAGGGGAGGAACCTGGATTACTTAGCCGAGGGAAGACAGTGTTGAGGGTTGGTTTAATGCAGATTCAGGGTAGGTATGCATGAAACCTTCCAAGTGCAGGTGAGTGCTGATTTGTGACAAGGTCCTGCTTGTCCTTTTGGACTTTCCCTCACAGGTGATGCATTAATAGCAGCATGCCCTCCAAACTATCTTCTTAGAAGTAAATGCAAATTAGATGGTTCATGGTATCTTTGGCCTCTCCTGAGATAAGCCAGACCAGACCCAAGGTCAAGATTTCTGGTCCAGTTTCTAAGACACTTAAGTCTTCACCAATCCTGGAGAAGGTGTCTTCACCAATCCTGGTGTCTAGGGAGGGAACCGAAGAAACCATACCTATGACACAACGGTCTTTCTAGGAAAAGCAGAGAAGTAGTATTTTCCTTGGGGAAAATTTTAGACACAAATTAAAGTAATGATAAAGAGAGGCTAAAGCAATGGTTACTTTGGACTCTAAAAAATGGCAAGGAAAATGAACACCCTGCACTAGCTCCAGATTTTCTGGTGTCAAACACCCTTTGCAGATACACTGCAAAGGGAAGCTGTAGGGATTCAAAAGGGAAGTATCTTTGCCTAAGGGGTTCTGTAAATTGATGAGTCTTGTCATACAAATTAGCTCACCATTACTGTCCTTCTGGCTAAGCGGTACAAACTCCCAGTCAATTCCGTGAGAAGAGCAGGAAGCTACCCATTCTTGGATCCAATGTGTCCTGGGCAACTTTAAAAAACTTCTGGTAGCTGAGATTGCATGTACTTAGGAGTCTTCTAGGGCTGCGCTTAAGCGAAGGTATTATCATTCCCGTCTCACCAAGGATGCCTGAAGCTCAAAACCACGTGGGTGCCTCCAACAGTTTAATTTCTTTAGTGAGTACCTTGTTAGATAGTTCTAGAAAAACTCTGGGCTTTATCATTTGCCCTTCCTAGCATTTCCACATCCACATATGCTCGCTGGTGAAATCATTCCTGAGTAAGCTTGAGAAACCACAGCTTGGAGGCAGTCATGTGTGTAAATAAGGAGTCTCTGTTTCATACAGATCATTCTTAAGCAGTAATTACAACTGTAGCAAGCAAGTCAACGTACCTACTACGATGCTCATAGCTGCTCTTACACCGGAACTTGTGTGCTGGGAAAACGGTGAAAATCCCTTCTTCCGAGCTGAAATACTGCCACTTAATTCCAGGGTTGGATTTCAGGTTGTCTGCAAGAACTAGAGGAGTGGGGAAAAGGAAATATAACCACCAAATCCACAGGTGCAGGCAGGCATGGCTCCTTAGGCATCTGCTTTGCATAAACTGCTTGTAGTATGGAGAAATCCCACTAGATCTAAGGCTGTAAATTTTCCACTAAACATTTTCTTTCTGTCCCTTAAAAAAATACCTGCGAATAGAAAAATGTAATGAATGTTTCAGTCAAGGGACGCTATTATTCTTAACGTTGTGTGGCAATGCTCTATGTCCCGGGATATTTTTTCTAGCATGAATGATTCATTTGCACTAGTCTCTCCCCTCAGGAGGCTGGTCCCTGTTGGACCAGTTTACACTTGCTGGGGTACATTCTCTAATGGAAAACAGTGACGTTAAGAGGCCAGGTCTCCTTCAAATAAATAAATAAAATCTTTAAAAAAAAAAAAAGGGGGTGCCTGGGTGGCTCAGTTGGTTAAGAGGCCAGGTCTCCAGAGGGACTAGACCTGTGACCTTGACCTTGCTCACTCCACAATGAGGAAATTAGCGTAGATGGTACTTGAAAGGTCAGAACCACCATCATTCAGTAAGAGCTCATGGAATGATTCCAACGTGTCAGGAGCGGGACACAGGCTCTCCTTCATGGTTGCTCATTTAACCCATGAAACAACTGTAGGACGAAGGTGGTATTATTATTCCCTACTTTGGAGTTTAGAAAATACGTTTAGGGAGCTTAAGTGACTTGTCTAAGGTTTCATCAGTAAATGGCCAAGTTGGGATTCCAGCCTGGCCGTCCTGGCTCCTAGGTTCTTACCATCACGCAGTATTGCCTCCCTTCCTACATACACTGTATGCCTGCCACTGAGCTGCAGCGGGAGGGGCAGCCGCCTTCTTGGGGGCAATCCTGTCCCCAAACCTCCATGAAGTCTTTCTTACCCTCTCCCACAAGCAGAGTTCTCTCCCTCCTGATGCCCTTTGACTCTGTTCCCCCACTGAATCCGTAATGAACTATACACTTACTATGTGTCGTGTCCTGCTTTACGTGTTGCAAGATACACACAGCTGAGCAAAAGACAAGCCTTATTGTAATAACTAATACACTAGAAGATTTACATAGTGGGAAATGGGACGGAAAGCAATTCAGGGGGAGGAGGAGCCTGAGCAAAGGCAAAAGGCAAGTATGAGGTGCATCTGATAAGAATGCACCTAAAGCTCTGAACACCACACAGCCATGCTTGAGTCTGGCTTGGAGGTCGGCAAACGTCTGCCAGGGTTTCCGACCAAGCAGGCTCTGTTGCAACCCACCCAACTCTGCTGCTGTTGTGCAAAAGCAGCCCCCGACCTCGGTGCGTGTGCGCCAATGAGAGCTGATTTACAAACATCAGTGGTGAGCTGGATTTGGTCAGTGGGCCTTCCACTTGAGCATTTGAACTCTGAACCCACCCTGTGAAATGCCCCCCTTGGGGGACTTAAAGCATGTCCAGTGCCTCCTGCCTCCAGCGATTACCCTGCCAAACACACACACGGAGAAAGGGCAGCATATTTTATCCTCAAAAAAATCCTAGGAGCAACAAAGCATTCTCCCCAAGTTACGGACAAAGAACCCAGCTCCGACTCTTCTGGGCTCCCAGAGGTTTCACAGTGGACAGGAAGGCAGTGGAGGGTGAGTGACCACAATGCGGGTCCCCGCTCCACTCTGCCAGGCAACCTTATCAAGGTCAACACCTGGACCGGGGCGACCACACTCTCCCCTGAGACCTAGGGCTGATGTGATTTGCACGTGAACATGGAGGCGGCTTTTCCTCTGGGGGTCCGAAGCCTTAACCTTGATCTCTTGTTAGCACTGTTCTTCAGGCAGCCCTGCCAAGCCCGCAAGAAAAAGGCAAACAGTGCCTTTGGAAGTAAAGCTCAATGACCTCATTTAAAAGTAACATCTGTAACAATAAACAGGCTACAGTGAGACTATTAAAAGGGGAGCCAATGAGAGCAAGAATGTTTTAAAAATAAATCAGAATTCATACGGTGCATGATACATTTAGTCTCACCACAAAAGATCATTCTGGTTCCTTATAATCATTCCAGCACTAGAGCATAAGTGTCAGGCAAGGTTCCTCAAACCCTCCCGCTGAGAACTCCTTTGGCATCTGATTAAATTTCATCCATTATTCGGTACTAGCAGAAGATGATGGATATGATGGTAATGAGGACCCCGGGGCCCAGAAGCAATCTATCATTGTGCTGTGCACCCCAAGCGGGCCCCTCTCCGACCTAGATGTGGAGGTGGAGAGCCCTATTTTCCACACAGGCACAGGCAACCCAGAGGCAGCTTCCCCCATTCCTAGGAGTCAATGAGATGTTCCGGCAACTGGATAACTTGGGCTGGGGTCCTGCATGCTCACTCTTTCCTCAGCAATGCTGGATGCTGTCCAGGAAAAGCCTGGGCATACGTCCAACCTGTCGGTCCATGATGTACGGTGTTAGGCTTTAAGCTATCAATGGGTAGGGCCTGTATTTGTCTCAACTGCTCTGCACACCTACCTCAGACAGACACATGTGAAGGTGGCAACAAATGATTTCTTCCTCACTGGAGCTCATCCCCAAGATGGAAGCCACCACACCCTCTGAAATCCTCCAGTATCTTACCTCTCCCACCTTCTAGTTAGTGTTGTTGTTGTTCTGGGCAACTTTTCACTCTCCCATCTCTAGATTCTGAGATCCTTGAGGGCGAGGTCTGGGTCTGAGTCAGCTCTGTGCCCTGGGCAGAGGTGCTCAGTTCTCTTCAGGTCAAGGCGCAGGCTCTGTGGGAGCTGTAGGGTTGATGTCTGCAGCACACGGGCTGGGAGGGTCTGCTCAGAAGTACTCTTTCTCAACCATTTGTGATACTTTTGTTTAATAAATTATAAAATCTTACTCTCTTCTAATGCCAAATCCAATTAAAAATAAATATGACTCAACATAGAGCAATGATAATTTTTTTTACTTTGTCAGAGAGCGAGCGAGAAAGAGAGAACACACAAGCAGTGGGAGCGGCAGGGAGAGGGAGAAGCAGGCTCCCCGCTGAGCCAGGAGCCCAATGTGGGACTCGATCCCAGGACCCTGGGACCATGACCTGAGCCGAAGGCAGACGCTTAACCAACTGAGCCACCCAGGTGTCCCAAGAGCAATGATAATTCTAAATAGGTTTTAAAATGATCGACACTCTGCTCTCCCAACACCACTGTCAATATAATAGGTACAGAAATAGGTAAGTGGAGAGAGAAAAAGCCTACCTGTCTGATGGTTTCAGGGGACTATACATGCCAAAATATATCAACAGTATATGTTACACATGTGAAGTTTATTGCATATCAATTATGCCTCAGTAAGGTTGATTTGATAGAACAGTGAAAACTTGGGGCGCCTGGGTGGCTCAGTCGTTGAGCATCTGCCTTCGGCTCAGGTCGTGGTCCCAGGGTCCTGGGATTGAGCCCCGCATCGGGCTCCCTGCTCAGCGGGGAGCCTGCTTCTCCCTCTCCCGCTCCCCCTGCTTGTGTTCCCTCTCTTGCTGTGTCTCTCTGTCAAGTGAATGAATAGAATCTTAAAAAAAAACAAAAACAAAACAAAAAACAGTGAAAACTTACTGAGCACCGTATCAACTAGTTTTATACATGGTGTGCGGCTTTTCTTATTAAAAGATTTTATTTATTTATTTGACAGAGAGAGACACAGCGAGAGAGGGAACACAAGCCGGGGGAGTGGGAGAGGGAGAAGCAGGCTTCCCATGGAGCAGGGAGCCCGATGCGGGGCTCGATCCCAGGACCCTGAGATCATGACCCGAGCCGAAGGCAGACGCCTAACAACTGAGCCACCAGGTGCCCCTGTGTGCCGCTTTTCATAACTACTTTATGAGTTTGTTGCTATACCCACTTTATTGGTGCAGAACTCACTTGCTCAAGGCCCAAGTCATGATTTGATCGAGGTGTGTCTGCCTCCAAAGCCCTTGCTCTTTCCAGAACACTACAGTGCCTCCACAAGGTCACTAAATACATGTTGAATGAATTAGCAATCAGCAGATAAAAAGCACACCGAGTATTTCTTGAGAGGAAGAGTAAATATATAAATGTATAAATATGTTGGTGTCTTTCAACCAAAATAATCAGCTGCATTAGTTTGTAAAGACAAAATGTAAAGAAATGCAATTAAGGGGACACCTGACAGAAAGAAAGGCTATCGCAATTGAAATAAGACATAGGCTAAAGTGAGCATTTAATTTTGTGAGAAAAAAACGAATGGCTGAACTGCTAAAACCGGCATGCACCAGCTGAGTAGTCCAATGTCATGGGGTTCGCCACTGACCCCACAGGCTGGCTTAACTGGAAAATGGCACACTGTAGCTCAGAAGGCAGAGTCAAGTTAATTATAGCACTCATGACTCTGAGTGATACTGAACCATAAAAAGCATATTTTACATAATAGAAGGAGTTTTTATGTGACTGTGAAACTATATAGCTGAGACCTCTTAATTATTCTGTAGGTGTTTAACAGATTGGAGAAGTCATTCACTGTCAATGTGAATAAACATACAGAAAGCCAGTTGGACACAGGCCCAATGCTGTTTTGCACTTTCTATTTAATTTGGGTTGGTACTTAGGCACTAGAAGGAAGACCCTGATAAATCAGAATGGACTGGGAATAGGAAGCCACGGGTTCTGGTCCCATCTCTTAAGACTGGCAAGCTCTCTGACCTTACATGTACTCACTATACAGCATCCAAAGGAATCTTTCTAAAATGGAAATTGAATCTCACCATTGCTTTGCTCAAAACCGTTCAAAGGTTTCCCACTGCACCAGAGCTAGCATTAAATCCAAACCCAATAAGGCCCGGCACCCTCTGGCCCCTTTCTAATCTCCAACCTCACTTTTACCCTCTTTAACCCACTACGCCGTACGTCAAGGGCTACCTCTTTCAGTTCTGCAAACGTGCCAAGCTCTCCACACAAGATGATCCTTAGACCTGAAGTAACTCTTTTCAACTTCTCAGAGAGAC